CAGAGCCCAAAGGAGCAGGCAGTGGGCTACCCTCACATCCATCACCTCGCATTTACTGCTTTCCTCCTGGAAGAAGGAAATGTTGAAGAAGTTTAGACACCTCTGTTTTCCCTTTTGAACAAAGTCCTGTTTCTAGCAAGAGAGCAGCTAATGCCATCCCGAAGACTGTCCTTACCAGGCTTGCAAGGTGATTTTCAGACATTTAATCGCTTATTAACTTTTTTGTGAACCTTTTCTTAAAAAAGAATAAAAATAAATAATTTCAAAAGGGAACCACAAGCTGAACAGCTTTAATAAGTTCTCCACCTTGCAGTTCACAGTAAATCATTAATGCAGTTAATTTCCAGTGTTGGACAGATTTATTTAAGGCAGCCTTGCCTCCACTGGGTTCAGAGCTGCTGCTCTCCTCGAGCGGTTCCTGATGAGACCTGCCACGGGAGACAGGACACTCGGGTCCTTAGGGCTCTGATATCCAAATCTGAGAAACAGGGACCAGACTGAAGTCAAATGTTATTTGCTTCACCCCTCCATGAAGTTTCCTGTGATCCCTGGTAAAAGTTTAATATCCTGGGATGCAACTTGTTGCAGGCATATTTACTGGAGGAAAATAATAATAATAATAAAGGAAACGAAGGAAAAACAATGTGTTACATCAAATCTGATTATTAGATGCCACGCACGTCCAAGGCAAAATCAACAGCTGCTGTGGATTCAAGAGAATCAAGGTATGTCCTAAATAAATACAATCCATGGAATCAGTGAACTAAAAAACTAAAGCAGGAAACAAATGCAAGGTGACAAAGGGGGCCAATTTTGAAGGCACACACAGGAGAAGGCTCACCAAATCATCCTGCTTTGGTAGAAGACCCTCTCATTTCCCCCTGATAGAGACTGATCAGGACAGAGGATGCCGAAACAGAAGGGGTCCTGCACTGATGGAGCAGAGGTGTGTTTTTCTATCTATCTAAGAAAGTCCAAGCTCTCATCCTCTGCTGGCATCGAAGGGCCGAGCACACAGCTGGCTGCCCCCTTCATCTGTGACATTTGTTCTTCTAATTATATGTTTAGACCCACAGGTTTATTACTTAATTATGAAGAGATCATAAAAGGGAGAGCTCGATTTACGCACTGAATTTCTAAGTTTGCTCTAAAGGAGAACTCTGGGCCACCCTCTTGAACTCATCTGGTATTAGTAAAAGCACTTTCTGGGTTTAAAGCCAGTAATCATTAGCTCTTCTAAAGAAACAAAATGGATAAGGAAAAGTGAACCATAAGACTCGGATCCATGCTGCTGAAGAACGGGAGGTGCCTGGGAAACACCTACAGGTTCGAGGGGAAGGACTGTGTTGGAATTTTCCGATTTCTGCAGTCATTAATTGTTTATTGTGTGCTCACAGCCCTAATTCCATTTCACAGCTGGGAATCCTTGAGCTCACCACGTGTAAATCCATGTTCAGTTTGTATTTAATCACCGGTGTAACTCCACCCGGGGCTGTTACCTTGACATGAGGCAGGAATCTGGGGCAGCTCCAGGTATCTAAGGCTCATGGAGATACCAGCCCACGTTACCAGTGAAACGCTGTTCTCGTTCAGCCCCTTTGCTTGACTCATCTTGGAAACCACCCAGTCTCACCACAGCAAGAACGGGCCAAGGTAACCACAATGCAGCAAGAGAAACTTAGAGCTAAACAAGCGATGGAGCAGCAAGTCACTGCCACCTTAGGGAAAAAAACCCCATGGATATAGTGACAGAAGCCCACATGAATGTTTGAATGGCCATACAGCTGGCTTAAAACTCAATAAACCACCTTCATGTGATCAACTCGCCACTGCTACCTAGCAAGTGAAAAAAGCTGCAGCAGGAGACTTTAGAGTCTTCAACATGGTCATCTAAGAATAAAAATTAAAGCTCTTAGTTATACAACTAATGCCATCCTGTATTTTTAAAGGGATCACACTTGGAAAACATGAATTTAAGTAAAGCACGTTCTGAGAGTGATCTTTACAGTGACTTCAGCTAGAAGAAAACATCTGATTTTCTTAAAAAGTGACAACAGCGTGATTAGAGACCAATTACAAAATCACGAGCTAAAAGATCATAGGATAATTAAGATAGCTTCATTATTTCCACAAATGTCAGGGTAAAATAAAACTGAGTAAGCAAGCACGAAGTAAATACAGCCTAAGCAGCTAAGTGCATTTTAAATTGCAAGTGAACCCATTTCACAGACCCCTGATAATTTTCAGGCAGTCCTGGCAAGCTGTTGTTTTGGGGTGGTACTTACTGTTTGCAGAAGTCTGGGTTCTCCCGTGAGCACAATCACCAAAAATACAGCAAAATAAGGCAGGGGGAGATCCTCCAGATATCACAGGCGAGCACCCAACCATTCATCTGCTGCCATCGTGCCCAGCCGTGCTCCTACAGTCTCGCCCAGTGCTGCTTGGCTGCTCTGATTCATTCGGAGCCTTCCCATGAAGAAATAGCTTTGGCACCAGCCTCCTCCTCCTCTTCTTGCCCGACTGGATCGACGCCGAGGAACCTGCGGATGACAATAGAGGTATCGCACGGCAAAACAAGTTACAAACACACCCACAAAACTGCCAGATTGCCACCTTTGCCAGGAGTCCACGCAGGTGAGTCACACCTGCCTGGCTTCCAGCCTTCCTCACGGTAGAGGAGGTGTCTTCTGCTCTTCTGTACTTAGCAGGTCTTCTAGAGACCAAACCAGAAAAATTTGTAAGCAAAACCTGGTCAAGTGAATGCATCACCCTTCAGAGATCAAAGATGACACTACTCACATCACTGAGCTCAATGAGGAAGAAATAATCTTTTCTATACGGGCTGCTCCCACCACAAGGGGTGAGAGGATCCTGCCCAACCCTGTGCCGTGTTCACCGTTGGCTCTTAACGTTGGCTCACCTCCAAAAGCAGGATTTCCAATACCAGTTAATTTACTGCAGGTAGTTTATCAGAACAGAAGAGCAATTCCTAACACTTTCTACTCACGGGGCCCCTTGGGTCACTAATTTATTTTATTTTATTTTCCTCCAGTCCTGCAACCTGTTTGTCATGAGCTTAGAGGGTTTCCTGAAGTAACGTCATTTTTGTCTGCTACCACAGCTTCAGTCAGTCCCAGCCACAAGGCAGGTCTCCAGTTTTAGCCTAAAGGTAGGTATTATTTACTCTTCTGTTTCCATACAGCCAGTCTGGCATCTCACATCGATACCGAGGAGGAATTAAGCCGAGCACAGTTGGACACAGCCAACAACCTACCTGGGAAGGTTGAAGGACTTGCTCTTTCACTGAATTTTTAGAGTTGGAAGGGACCATAGAGATCATCTAGTCCAACTCCCCTGCTAAAGCAGGACCACCCAGAGCTTGTCAGAGCATGTTACTCAGGACTGCATCCAGGCAGGTCTTGAAAATCTCCAAAGAAGGGGACTCCACAACCTCCCTGGGCAGCCTGTTCCAGGGGTCCATCACCCTCACCGTGAAAAAGTTCCTCCTCATATTCAAGTGGAACCCTTTATGCTCTTGATACAGAACTGGCTAGAAACAAATTAAAAGGTGGCACCATTGCAACTTTGAAAATGAGCCAAAAAACCAGATCACATCAAGGTATGGACACCTCTTATCAAAAGGCTTCTTCCCCCCATCACCTGGAGTTGTGCTCCTACACACTCCCTGAAACCGTGCTATGATGGCAAGGCTGAACTGCCCTTGATTCTCAAACCCCTCCTCAACCTGAGCAGCAAACCCTCTGAAGGACACAAAGCGTTCAAGCCTCAGACACAGGCACCTCCCAGAAGGAAGAGGTGTCAATCTCTGCTCCCGGGGGCTGAGAATGACATTCAAAGCACAAATAAGGTTTCCATGAATTCAAGGAGGGTGCTCCGAGCCCTGAGCCCAGCAGTGGTCTCAGGCCTTACCTGGGGTGGAGGCCCTTCGCGTTCCTCGAGCTGGGAGGTACGTGCCTGGGCTGCTCTTGCAAAATCCAATTAGCCAAGATAACAAGCAGCTGGTTTGAGGCTGCTCTGAGAAAGCAAGCAGCCAGCAATCAGGAACATCTCTGAGAGCTTTAACAGCAGCCAAAAAGCAAGGCAGCTGTGAAAACCTGTTTTTAACCATTTCCTCTAGATTACTTCTGCTTACTTACAACTTTTAAAAATACCTTGCATTCATTAAAGTGCAGCAGATACTTTGCCACACAACTCAAAGTCAAACCTTGCAAAACATTACAGCTTTTCATCAGAAGCTTCACTCCCCTGAAGCAGCATTAATGAAAAAATATTATCTTCATGGTGTTTAAATATATTTTTAAAAAAAGTAGATGTCATTTTTTATATTTTGAAAACTGTATGTCATATGCAAACAAAAGCTTTTTAGGCAATGTTATGAAGATTGAATAAAAGCCTTGCAGTTTAAAAATGCCCTTCTGTTGGGCTCTTCATTTTCTTTTTTTACTCATCCATATCCCTTTTAAACACGCCATACCCTCACTCTTCAGTTCTTCATATATATTTAAGAAGTCACTCAAACACGCATTTATCCATGTTACTGAGTGGCAACAGTGACCTTAAAAAAAGGCTCTGAAGATGCACAGTAACTTCAGTTCAATATGGACCAATCAGAAAATAAAAAGAGGGAATAAAGAGAGACTGAAAAGTTAATATTCTCAGTTACACTTGCAAAGAAAACCCAGTAAGTTTTCCAGCTGTTTGGATCCTAAGCCATCCTGACAGTCAGGAACCAGAGCATCCCACTGAGTAAAGTAAAATCTGAAAGCTTCAAAAGGGGGAATATATAAAAATGATAAGCATTAAGCCATCCTGACAGTCAGGAACCAGAGCATCCCACTGAGTGAAGTGAAATCTGAAAGCTTCAAAGGGGGAATATATAAAAATAATAATAATAAACAAACTTTACTCCCACCCACTGAACTCCTCCTGCAAAGAATTTAATGGCATACAAAACATTCATGAACAGAACCAAGCAGAGATTTCAAGAGGTTTTTAAATTTCTTTTATTTGCTGAGTTTGGAAAGCATGCATCATTTTACAGCACCGGTCACCAAGTCAGTGGAGCATACTGCTTTGGGAACTCGGACTATGGAATGTCTTCAAACCCACTACCCTCTCCCCCTCTGCTCCAGGACGTAACACTCACTGAAGACGGGACAGACACATATATGGGCAGCTTCCTTATGGCTAAAAACACTCATAGCAGCGGCTTTTAAAGGAGGTTTTTATTAAATCGAGTCATTGCACTTGGGTCGTTTATTGCTACAGCGAACAAAGGCCATTAAATAACGAACACTTTTAATTTGTGGGTTTAACTGATTGTCTTGTTTACGGGCAGGTGCAATTTCTGCAGAGCAATCACTTCTGAGATTTGTTTCATGCTCCGATCACAGTGAAGGGCTTGTAAAACTAACTCAGCTATTCCATTCGGCTCAATTCCTGCTTTTCATCACCTGACTTAGAGGTTACGAATCCCAATTTTGAGTTTAGTGTCTGACGAGAAGCATTACTGCTGCTCATTATTCCTCAATGCAAAGGTCTGGCTCAAGTCTTCATTTGTGATGCAAAGGCAATTAAGAGTTCCAAGCATTAATATCGAATCAGCTTATTAGCAACATGACTGGCAAATATTCCCTAATACTTGCACAGTAGATTAAATAAATTTTACGAACAATTTAAATCAGCAACTGATACACATTCTCCAATTGACTTTTTGGATGTATTTCATGATGCATCAACTGTGGAGGAAGTATACTCTCAAGAAGTAACACTTCCATGTCACTTGCTCAAGTGACATACTACAAAATTATTGTATTTATGACTATGTCCATGAATAGAAACTTAATTACTTGTCTCATTGGTGAAGTTTACAAACTATGTGGCATGTTTTTGTGATGTAAATTCTAGTAGACCAAAAAGAGATAAGGTGGTCACTAACAGAAGTAATGCATTTGACTGGCTGTCTAAAGCTGCATGGGTTTTAATTCTTTAATCAAGTGAACACAGCAATAAATACATTGTCTTCCATCACTTTGCATATTATTTGTATATTATTCTCTGTTGAGCTCAGGGGTTAAAGATAATGGCAATCCACAAGATTTCAACTGTTTTCCATAAAATGTGAGAGACACCCATCTTGGAAACCAGCACAATGCTGTCAAAGCAACCGTTCCAACCGCCCATTAAAATACAAAGATGTCATTAAATTTAGAGGTACACAATATACTGATAAAGTTTATGGCATATATAAATATTGAGACCATTTGAGAGTATCAAAGCTCCAAAGGGATTTATTCGGAGACATATTATAAACAAAACCTGACTATTGTAGAAACAGATCAAGATGCATATTTAACCACCAGAAAGACGGATGACTTCGGTTTAGATGCACAGAAGCACGGGCGTTGAGACTTAAGGTTGACTTTTTCATGCTGTAAGGTTTTAGGCACAACAGGTTGAGTTAAGACTGGATTCCGGTCTCGTTTCCGTATTTCTTGCGTTTTGTGGTTTTCAAGGTTAATTTTGTCATAATTCAGTCATGATTCAGTCCTAAATCCCTTTTGAATCCAAATAGTGCAAGTGACAAAGTGTTCCGCTCAATCACCCAGATGAGATCATTCCTTCTTACCACGATGCATAGGAGTTTCACCTGCTGCATTGCATCAACAAATTCCTATCTCATTACATAAGTTACAAACAGCACATTATTAACACCCTCGCTGCAGACGGGCAGGACAGCATAACGCTGGGTAAAACTGCCCAAATGATACAAATATATCATATATTCCCTTTTGCACGTCGGGGAAAAAGTAGTGACTAGGATTACGGTACAGTTATTCCACCCCTCCCAATAGACTATTTTACAGATTAGTTGTAAAGATAGATCACCCCTTTTATTGTATAGATCTCTTTAAAAATTAAGCTACAGGTATTCAATAAAAATCTATTAAGAATTCCCTCTCCTTTCTATACAGATTCAGTAGTATTTTCAAGCAAACCAAAAAAATAAGGTCTGCAATTCCAGCACAGTAAGAAATAAGGCCTCTTTTATATTGGCAAAAAAATTACACCGTTATTCTTCTCTGTTTTCTTATCTCTCTGAATAAAAGACTATATTCCTTTTTTTACTATATTTTTTTTTCATTAAGACTGTAGAACACCAGCATCCATTATTATGAAATAAGAGTCAGTTCTCCTTGTGTTCAGCTTTTAAGTCCTGATGAGTTAAAAACATTGAGTCCATAGCTGTCTCATGTAGACATCACCGCTTTCTTCAGTTTTTCTATTTCAAGCTGGAAAAATGGACATTTTGGAAAGAAAAAGAGTCATTATTAAAGTAAGAAAAATCTAAAGTCTTCAGAGCTTTCACTAAAATAATAACCTTTGTATTAAAAAAAAAAATAAAACAGTAACACAGAAGCACTTGACAGCTCAGTATTTACAGCTGATTTTACACTGCTAAACAAACAAGAATTTAAAATAATTAAGAATTTGCCTATAGTTCTGGTACATCTTATTGGATAAATTCACTCTGAGTAGAGCAAAGCTGGGTTGTGGAATCACTTCACACATCCCCAGCTCCTAAAGCAGCCTTCATGCAAAATACCATGCCATGGATTAATTTGCATTTCTTCAAGTGGATTTAGAGGATACAGGGAATTTACCTCCTCTTCCTCCCCAGTGCACATTTAAGGCAGTTTCATTGATGGCTTTAGAGACATGTTAAAGAGAGGACACACCAGAAGGTCTTCTCAAGTTTCTGAAGTAGTTCTGTAGTCAATAAGAAGTACTATTTCACAAATAAAATGCCCCTTTGTACCAGACGGAAATAATTTTCTGTAATGAGCTCACCCTATGAAGTACTTAATGGCATCATCCTGTAATGCAGGTAGATACCTTCTTCATCAATTAATTGAGAGCAGCAGCGTTTATTCATAAGGAAATTTGTCAGATGCTTTCTGTTCTTTTTAAACAGTTCAAAAATTTAGGAAAGTTTACTTTTGCCCTATTTTTCTTTTGATTACATAAAGTAAACTTGTCCTTCAATCTTACAAAGTATTAATATTCTCTCTTGGAACATGTCCAGTTGGACATATTTCTAGCAAAAAGCAGAACCTCGCAAAGCTAAACTGAACTCACATCCCAGCGCTCACACCTACTGTTATATTTTAGTAGAGGTGAACAAAGGTGAACTGTGTCTTCCAGATACATCCAACTGCTTCATGAAGCCCTCCTTCAACCACACATCAACACAGCAACACAAAAAAGGTTGAACAGGTTTTGTTAAGACCTTCCTGTAGCATCAAATTCCAGAACACTGCTTCCATACTTTTCAACTTCCCCCCACTCCAATTGCTAACGTTACCTCCAGATTACTTCGCAACAACTTCTCTTCTTCCAAATCCTTCTTTAGTTTTTCCAGTTCTCTCCTAATAATAGTTAAGATATCAGAAATACAATCAGGACAGGGAAAAATAAAAATCTGCATTACTGAGAACAGGAAGCACAGGCCTGGTTGAAGTTTTATGAGAGGAATTCACATAACAATTGTCTGATGCTACATCTTATAAATAAAACTTACATATAGGTACATGCTCAGTAGTGAACTGGTACTCAAATCTGTTGGACTACCAACGTCCACCAACTCTCAACACTTCCTACCTATTACTATGCATCTATCCCTAACGTATAATCACAATTTTAAGTAGACTACTTAAAAAATTGTATTATTATTTTACTTGGAGAGTTGAATTTAAGCTACAATAACCAGGCAATTTCTACATAGGGAAAAGAAATTCTTTAGAGTTCTCCAAACATGTTTTATTTCATGTTTTACTATGTTCAGGCAAGAAAGTGCTAAGAATTATCATCAAATCACTGAAGAACTATATCATTAATCACCGGAACTCATCATTTACTAGCTTGCTTTGGAAACCAACTGATCCTGATGCTTTCTAATCTCTCAAGAGGTCATTCTAAAAGTGACTTTGGTTAGCACCTAGTGATCGTTTAAATAGTACCAAAATGAATATCTATACTGTAAAACTAAAAACAGAAATAAGGTAATTTTCCTGCAGATGAGTCTTTACTATGTTTACTCAAACACCAGTTATGTTTTTCTTCTACATGCACAAAGATGATGGATCAACTTCTAAAGAATGAAGTTCTGAATTAATATTTTAATATAGAATAGATTTTGTTTTTAAGAAGTTTAGTATTAAAGACATTTGGAAGATGTCCATATATCTCTTTGCATATTGAGAAGGAAAATATTTACCCATGATCTTTCTTCAGTGCATCTACTAAACTCATCAAATCATTAATCTGAGTCCTGAGCTCTTCCACTGAAATTTTTTCATCATCTGTTTCTCCTTTAAGCTGGACATCTCCAGGAAAGAAGTTGAGAAGAACAGAACTTGGTCTCTGAGATGAAGATGGAACTGGGGGACTGAATGCAGATGGCTGGAAAAAAAAAAACAAAAACCACAAACCCACAACAACAATCAGTAGAAAGCTAAGAAATGAAATCTTTATGAACTGACCAGTTACAGCATGCAGGCTATACTGGTATGGGAGCTACATATGCACAAGTTTCCTTAATTTTTTACCCAAAAGGTAAAAAACCCCAATGTCCAGTTCAAATAACTCTCTCATGTACCAGGGTAGTTTATTTCATACAGCTCTTTGTGAAGCATTTCCCTGAGGTTTCTGTAGTCACACTGCAGTTCTCTAACATTAAAAAAACCCTGTGGTTTAATGGGGCCCATTGGTTGATTATAAACAACCTTTTGTGCACCTTTCTGATCTGCTCAGCTGTTCTGTCCAGAGACTAAAGGCTGAGCAGACACGAAACTTGACTGAAATATCACCACGGTTTCAAGACACCTGACACAATTGTTCTTAAAACCGATGGACTTTATACTAATAAAATATAAACAAACTTTGTACTAAAATTTCTACTGTGAACATTATAGTAAATGACATGGCTGACTTGCATTTAAAGACAGTTATTAGCATTTAGATGGTTGCATCAATCTAACCCAGAAATACAAACAAGAAGAACAGAATACCTATCTGCCTGGTACTTTTCTCAGTCCTTGGTATCTTACCTTTTTTGTTTCAACTGGCTTTGGTTTGGCACTTTCCTCTTCTTTCTGCACCTTCAAATTTTTTTCTGGACACAGATTTTGACTTGCCTGGTAAGCCATTCATAAAAAAATGAAAATATTTTCAAAATTAAAAAAAATAAAGTAATAGAAAAAAAACCAACTGCCACATATTTCTAAGGATGCAATACTAAAAAGAAAAAAAACCCAAAACAATGCAAACTTAGATTGCCAGACTGCCATAGTTTTCTTTCCCTGCCAGTCACACCTTTCCTTCCCCCCCGATGAACTGCTTCAGCTAAATTTAAGTCAAACATTGCAATCTTGGGCAAGATTTTCAAGCATCTCTGCAGTACTTAACAAGTCCTAGATGTGTTTGGGAGCCTGTAGGTGCTTCCCTAAAACACAAACATTAAGAGAGTGTAGATGGTAACTGGCATGACTGAACCATACAACATCTGATGATATAGAAAGGTTTGGGTTGGAAGGGAACTTAAAGATCATCCAGTTCCAACCCCCTGCCCTGGGCAGGGACACCTCCCACTACACCAGGTTGCTCAAAGCCCCATCCAGCCTGGCCTTGAACACTTCCAGGGATGGGGCATCCATGGCTTCTCTGGGCAACAGTGTCTCACCACCCTCACAGTAAAGAATTTCTTCTTTGTTATTTCTTCTATCTAATCTAAATCTCCCCTCTTTCAGTCCAAAACCATTACTCCTCATCCTATTGCTACATTTCCCAATAAAGAGTCCCTCCCCACCTCTCCTGTAGTCCCTCTAGGTACTGGAAGGGACTCTAAGGTCTGCCCAAAGCTCTCTATTCTCCAGGCTGAACAACCCCAACTCCCTAAACCATTACTCCTCATCCTATTGCTACATTTCCCTCATCTTCGTGGCCTCCTCTGGACCCGCTCCAACAGGTCCATGTGCCTCTTGTGCTGAGGGCTCCAAAGCTGGACACAGTACTCCAGTTGGGGCCTCACCAGAGCAGAGGGGTAGAATCACCTCCCTTGTAGACGGACACAGTACTCCAGGTGGGGCCTCACCAAGAGCAGAGGGGTAGAATCACCTCCATCGTAAACATAGCTAAACCTCTGTGGCATTTTGCATTTCACTCAGGTAAAGAATCCATAAGGCTGTTTCCTGGGAAGTTTTTTCTTAGTTCACTAGTAGGAAAACACCCCCATATACTCACTGTATTGCCACCGAAGCGCGTCGGCAGCCTCCTACCAGTCATCTTGGGTCGGTTTGCAGTGGGGTGTGACAGAGTATCTGAGGTAGCTATTACATCATCAAAGCTTAGCAGATCTAGAAAAAGATGATAACAGACCACCATCAACACCAGAAGGTTTCGCTGAGGTTTTTTTATTTTTTTTTCCTTTAAAAAATTTTATTATTTTTTTTCCTTTAAAAAAAAAACAAACAAAAAAAACACAAACAGAATTCTTATTGTTTCAAAGATTCCCAGCACATACACCACATGAGACACATGAAACAGCTACATGACTCTGATATATCTGGGAAACCACATTTTTCCCCCTTGAAAAATACTAGGTGTTAATCCAACTAGCATTTAAATTTGAGTTCTCAACAGAAGAAGTGGTGTAGTCACATAGCAGCATAAAACGGACTTAAGTATTTACAGAAAAATCTATTTATGCCTGCTTTTTTGATAGATGGCTTAAGCTATTCCAGAGAGGATACTTTCTTGTCACAAAATTTGCATGAAAACCCACGTTTAGTGACTAAGACAAAAATAAAAGCAACATGGTAAAGTACACATCCAGACTCTGATGAAAGTACATTAACAAGATATGAACTGCAAACATTTCTGTTCACGGCAGTTTTTTCATCTGTAGTTTTCTTAACCATTTCTCCACAAAAATAATAAAACTTACCTGTCAACAGATGTGTAATAAGATAGTTTTTTTTATTTAAGCATTGACATAAAATGATGGATATTATATACCATTTTACAACACAAACTCATTAGGCTTATTCTGGAGACTCTAAATGTTTAACTGAAATGCCACATAGCATTTACTATGGGCACCAAAACTAACATTCAAGGGTTTGGTTTTTTGTGACAGCTGACTTTTACATGACATTATGATTTATCAAACAGAAGCTACGATACTTCTTTCCCTGTTTTCTCATTCATTTTGAAGCTATAGCTGGAGGTCAGATAAGAAAAAAAGCCCTAGGAACACTGAGCCAGACCATTCATAACAACTCAGTGTTTGGATGACTTAAAATCAACTGATTAATTAATTAATTGAGTTCAACTCACACATTGTCAAAGCTACTTGATACCCATAGGAACTAAGTTTTCCACTGAATGTTTTAACTTATTTTAATGCCTTCTACTCTGCATTACTAACCTTGAAGTCCTTAAAATATTCACATCTTTTGGACATCCCTGAAAGTATCTACTTCATCATCTGTTGCCTTGTTGAAACGCAAGCATTTATAACATTATTTGTTACCAATCAGTTTTGCTGCTTTTTAATTTTTATTAAAGAGAATGTAAAGACAGTCTTTTGTAAACATGTAATCATATTTGCAATTAAAAAAAGAGGGGAAGAAAAACAAAGAAGGAAGAAACAGAAGAATGATGAATGGCAAGCGGCTGACGGAAAAGAGGATGAGGGAGAAATAAATAACTACAGAGGTATTTCTGTTGTGGTTTGTGCCAATAAAATATTTAACTTATTAGAAGTCGAGCAACAGTGACCAAAGGGTATATCTTCACATTCTTTTCTCAATTGTCACTAACCCCAGAGCACCGACCCACAGCAAAATGTAAAACAGGATTTACATTAGTTGTGCATTATTAAAAAGGTAACAAGAATGCAGGAAAAAATAAACATGCCTTTTCCCCCATCTCAGTAATTTTTGCCTTTAAATGCTCCTCCTTTTGTCATTCAGCAGAAATAAGAAATCATTTGGCAGCAAATTTAAATAAGAATTTTAAACTGAGTTGCTATCATAATTGTAATGTCAGCCCTGTCTCCAGGCATGCTTCACAGAGTAAACATCAGGGACATTAAGTATATTGAGAAGAGATTAAGAATCCTGTGTAGTTCTGAAAAAACCCACAGTATTTGACAAGGCTTGAAGATGAGAAGACTGCTACAGTCTTGAATTGTATATGATTTAAATATAGATGGTGAGATGACACTAAAGTCAGGGTTTCCCCCCCGCCCCCTATTTGTAAGAGCTTCTAAAGGAAATTACTACACTTGAGACAATTGCTCAGCATTAAAATGTTACCATCACATTACAGTCAGAGGGAATTCTGACTTTTCCTTTTTAACTTTCCATTTCCTAGCTTGGATATAGGGAAGAAATTGAAACACAGGCTGGTGAGGATTAGGGTTTGTGGGTTTGGGTGGTGGTGGTTTTGTTTCGGTTTTTTTGTTTTATTGTGGGCTTAGGGGGTTTGCTTGTTTTTTTTCCCTTTTTCAACAGCTTTCTTAGTTATTTTAGGAGAAAGCTTGGCCCCACTGAAACCAATAAAGATACTGATGAAACCCATTGAAAGTTCACAATTTACACCCATTTCAATCAATAAAGTGATTTATCAATTAACTTTCTCACAGTAATTGCTAAAGGAAATTCCATCATATGTCTCCAGGCATACTCCACAGAGTAAACATCAGGGACATTAAGTATATTGAGAACAGATTAAGAATCCTGTGTAATTCTGAAAAAACCCACAGTATTTGACAAGGCTTGAAGATGAAGACTGCTACAGTCTTGAATTGTATATGATTTAAATATAGATGGGTCAGGGTTTCCCCCCCGCCCCCTATTTGTAAGAGCTTCTAAAGGAAATTACTACACTTGAGACAATTGCTCAGCATTAAAATGTTACCAGCACATTACAGTCAGAGGGAATTCTGACTTTTCCTTTTTAACTTTCCATTTTCTTGCTTGGATATAGGGAAGAAATTGAAACACAGGCTGGTGGGGATTAGGGTTTGTGGGTTTGGTGGTGGTGCTTTTGTTTGTTTGTGTTTTTTTTTTTTTGTTGTGGGCTTAGGAGGTTTGCTTGTTTTTTATAGGGAAGAAATTGAAACACAGGCTGGTGAGGATTAGGGTTTGTGGGTTTGGGTGGTGGTGGTTTTGTTTCGGTTTTTTTGTTTTATTGTGGGCTTAGGGGGTTTGCTTGTTTTTTTTCCCTTTTTCAACAGCTTTCTTAGTTATTTTAGGAGAAAGCTTAGCCCCACTGAAACCAATAAAGATACTGATGAAACCCATTGAAAGTTCACAATTTACACCCATTTCAATCAATAAAGTGATTTATCAATTAACTTTCTCACAGTAATTGCTAAAGGAAATTCCATCATAGTACCAAAAAAGCAATACCATAAATCTGGGGATAATTTAAGTCAAATAATGATTTTAAGGCTGAGCAAGAGCACCTTTCTTTCTAGAAAGAGGAGCTAAGCTTAAACAGCTACTTAGGACAGACTATTAGAAAGCTCTTTCCTGCAAGCTTAACATGGATCCGTAACAGAACTGTTAGGAGCTTTAACAGATACAATTAGGTGAGAGGTTTTGTTAATATTTGTGAATGCTTCAAGTGTATTCATAGCAGTGTGTCTTAAAAAGCCTTCACAAAAAGAAGCAAAGCTGAAGGGGCATCTAAAAAAAAATTATGGTTCCAATATCTCACGTGGCTGGGGTTCAAAAACCCACAATAGAGGTGAAACACATCCAGTATTTCAGAAGACAAGACCTCACATGAATCTGCTGAGTAAGAGATGAGATCAGGCAGCCCTTTTTCCTGTTACTCATCTTGCTGAGATTGCACCCCAAAAATTTAGGGATCATATGTAATCTTTAGAATATTTAAATTTGCAGTTAAGAAATACTAGGTATTTGATACAATTAAGCATGTGCCCAATATGGGACTTTCACATATACTATTTTACAACACTTATAATACTAAAGAACGTAACTATGAAGTCTTTAGCTAATTTGTGCTACAGAAATATAAAGCCATTCAACCTAAATACATCTAGTACTATAGATACTGAACACATTTCGTTAGAAGAATTATGTTTGGCTTATCAATAGCTGGACTGTAGTTTTTCTTGTTTGTTTCCTTGTGCATTTTATCTCTACAAACTCCTAGTTGAAAAACATACTTAAAGGAAATTCTTGCTTAACAGCTAACGAAAACAGGCATTCAAAGAAAAAATAAAAAGCATTTTAAATTGAAACCCAAAAATTTTAGTATCAATAACTGCAACTGAAAATTACGCTTATGACGTTAAGAAGAGGCTATGTGTACGGCATAAAGCATTTGGATTTCCTTATAGATTGTTATCTTACCAAAATGGAGAAGGGTAGGGTAATTTCCTGACACGTAAGAAGGGAAACATGGCAAACAGGATAGGAAACAAAATCTGGAAAGAAAAGTCAAGGAGAGGAATGTCTAGAAAAAGATTCTGAACAAAAAAATTATTTCACAAAGCAGGAAAAAGAAACATTTGTAGAAGAAACAGAATCGCTTTACATGTTCAGCATGCTACTGTTACAGCTTGAGTCTTTTACAGTACTTTAATTCTAACCAAACAGAGAAACATTTACGCAATTTGTCCACATACAGCTTTAAGAGAAGGTATTTCAATATGATCAATGTTTCTGAATGTGTTTGAGTATTTCTCCTTATCTGAAAGAATATCTTTAAAGCTTTTCCTCATCCGATAGCTGGGGATCAAATTTTGGTCTGGGGTGGCTTGTTTTTTTATATTAAAGTTCATTGTGTTTTCAAGGGGATTTCAATATGATCAATGTTTCTGAATGTGTTGGAGTATTTCTCCTTATCTGAAAGAATATTTAAAGCTTTTCCTTATCTGATAGCTGGGGGCCAAATTTTGGTCTGGGGTGGCTTCTTTTTTTATATTAAAGTTCCATGTGTTTTCAAGGGGCGTTTTTTTCTGAGCATAAGTGATACAGGAACACATCCAGCACAATCTTAGGGATAAATCCGAGTAGGAGGACAAGGCTTACATTTTTAAGGCTGGATTTTGCATCACTCTTTCAGCTCTCAGCTTACTTTGACCTGGAAGTGCTTCCTTTGTATCCTCAAACTCCATTTTTAACAAGAGGCAATAATTAAACTGCCAATTGAAAAGTCTTTAAAACAAGGCATAACACAGTATGTGAATAGTTTTTGCTGGGGAATAAAAAAATAACTTACAGTTACTTTAGGATATAAGTAACACTGATAATATTTGTAATATTTCCAGGAGACTTTAATACCTACTGAAGTCCAGCTTTTTGTGGTTCAGAAAAATGTAACTTTGGCATTAAAAACATACATGAACTAACCCTTCATCCTACAAAGCATTTAAGTTTAGAAGCACATTTTAAAATGCTTGGTGGAAAAAAATCAGGAGTACATCTTTCTATTCACAAACCAGCTTTTAAATGAGTTATTTTTGTCTTGCAGATGAATTTATTACACTTTAGGACCAATTATTCTACAACCTGGATATCATAATTGGCCCCCCAAAAATGATCAAGGTATACTACAATGTAAAAACTTATTATTATTATTAAAACCTTTTCTGAGATGAAAGGTGGAATTTGAGATATTCAAGCCAAACACTGCAAGTACAATTCACTAAAGCTTTTCCTGCAGTGGTTAGTCATACCATAAAAATAGTTTAGAGTACAAAAAAAACATATGCCCACAACAGATGATGTCTGCCTAAGAGGCACACAGACAACTGAAATCAGTTGCTCTGTCAAGTAAAATAGTAAAGTAAATAAAATGTAACTGTATAACAGCAGCTCAGAGAGCCTGATCATCAATGTGGGTGCTTTAACCAGTATCAAGGTTTTTATAGTATAATTTTAGATGTAAAGAGCTGCCAGGCTTGGCTCAAGGTGCATTAAGCAAAGCCAGAAGCGTGAAACTGAAATGTCCAATGCTCCACGCTGGCCCAAATTTAAGGTATGATAAAATCATAATCTAGAATAGCTATGAACTTAATCACAGAAAGCTGAAGGCAATGGCATTACTAAAAATACGCAAGTTAGCTAGAAAAGCAAAAGTTATCTGAAATGCAAGAGCAGAACAAACGAAACCAGTCAGTAAGGAAAACAATTTCATAAAAACGCAAGATAAAAGTGGCAGCAAAAAAAAAAAACATGCTTTCAAATCAGAAGAACAAACCTTTACCTATGTTCCCTTCTTCCTGTCATCTATTACAACACAGAGCTCATCACCTACCTCTGAAGAGCCTACTGACTTCTGCTCATCGCTTGCTGACTCCTACCTTCAGCTACCCACAGCAGTTCTAAAAAATACCTTTCTATTGAACTTTCTATAACTGCACTTTGTTGCATTTTGAGTAAATTCCTTAAAAAGCTTATTCTAACCTTGTAAAATACTGCAATCCAAACAGAAAGACCACAAAGAATATTTTTACTGTTTTCTTACCTGATTCTTTAGAGCTCTTTGCCACAAGTGAATCTACCTCTACTGATTTTGGTCTAAGTGGTAATGGTTCAGAATCTAACTTTGGTTTTGCTACTGGCTCAACTTCAGATTTTGGTCGAAGAGGAACAACTTCTCCATTAGATCTGTAGCAAGAAAGAAAAACAACAAGACATACCTAGTTAAGAGATTAAGTAGTTTACCACTGAAACATACCAAGAATTAGAAGTAAATGGAAAAATTTCAGTAGACTGTATAATTTTCTAAACCTTTGCTTAAAATCAAGTCTTTCAGAGAGCAATTCTTCTCCTATAAAAGCCAATTCTTCTGTTCCAGCTCTCTCAGAACTGTCAGATATGTACAAACCCCCTGTAAAAATAATCCAAAACTTTTACTACAGGGAACATTTTGGCATTTAAATCTAAAGTATTACACTACGGTGCAACAGAAGACAAGAGAGCTGAAAAACACCCTCAGTAACATCTCTTGAAATATTCAGAAACATACTCAGACTCCTTGACATCAAAATCTTTCTGTAAAGAAAAAAGTTGCCAAGAACAAATTATTTCTTTCTGGGTACAGAATAATAGCACCTTGTATATATGGCTTCTATTATACCACACATTCTTTGCGTATCTGGTCAATCATCCAGGGACACAAAAAAAAAACCAACAAAAAACACCTGCCACCAAAACAACAAACCAAAAAAAGCACCAGGAAGAAAAAAAAAAAACAAACAACAGATAACATTTTCCTTTACAATTTTTGCCATCATTTATGCCACAGCATAACAATCAAGTTTATAAATGGACCAGCTGTCAGTTTCAATGTGTCCCTGTCATTAACTCATCTCCCAAATCCTTTATTTGGAAGTTTTATTGCAGTACAAAAAAAAAAAAAAAAAAAATTTGCGTATCCATTCACACAGGAAACAGCAAAGATCTTTCCCTAAGAATCAATATACAGATTTATGTATGCTCAATATCAACGTACTTTGGGATCAAAGTAATTTTCCCAATCCTTTTTTTGGAAGTTTTTTTGCAAAAAAAAAAAAAAAAAAAAGAGCTAGCAGCCCTGTCTTCCCTATTTTTCCAGTAACTCAACTGAGAATACTCAAGATGGAGCACAGAGACTGGATGTGCTTCTGTAATAAGTGCTTTCTTCCCCAGAAAAGCACATGAGCTACGCTGAGTACCTTAAGTACAGGTACTAACTGTGCTCAACTTTTCCTCCTTTCTATCTATCTTATATTACATAAACTGCTGAAACACTGAATGTTGGTGCAGATCAAATCTTCAGATTTCTTCCAACCCAGTAGTAATTCCCAAGTGCCACGTCCACAGATTCTTTTACACCATATTGCTACTGTAGCTACAACTTCTTCACTACGTTCCAACCCAGTAGTAATTCCCAAGTGCCACAGATTCTTTTACACCGTATTGCTACTGTAGCTACAACTTCTTCATTACAAGTTAAAGCAGAACAGCCCACAGATTTGTAACTTCATCTGCCCCATCATTACTTATGCTGTAATATTTGCTCTGAGATGCAGTCAATCTCTTGAAGTAGAAAGTTGTAAGTTTACATCGATAAAAACTTGAAGAAGCAAGACACTGGTAAGTGTAGGGCAGAACTTATCCCTGCGTCCTCTTCAACCTTAAAACACAAGTTTCTTCCAACCTCATCCATGAAGACAGAGCAATAAATCAAATAAAATATACTTGGTGTATACAATTTAAGTTATACTGACTTGGATACAGGTGATGGTAAGACAGGCTTGTCTGGACAGATTTTGGGTTTTGGGTGCAGAAGCCCTGCTCTCAGTAAGCTGTTGGTCTTGCTTGGAGGAATAGGCTTCTTGGGTGGTACTTGAGGAGCTTGTGGCTTCACAGGCTTCTGATCTGAAGCTCCTTTTTCATCTGACAAAAAAAAGTCACCATACCATTTAAAAATCCCATGTTGTCTAGAATTCTTATGCTGCTAATCAATTAGAAAGCAACTGCTGTCAGAAATACTTACTTTGAAGATCAGATGAAAGTGAAAAAGATATGCAAGTGTCTTAAATGGTACCTTATCAAAACACACAAATTAGAAAGCAACTGCTGTCAGAAATACTTTCTTTGAAGATCAGATAAAAATGAAAAAGATATGCAAGTGTCTTAAGTGGTACCTTATCACAACACACAAACTACTAACCTGAACTTAAAAACCATTATGTTCAAGTAAGCAAGAAGTCTTTCTACTGATATGAAACAGTAGTAAGAAATTATGGATTCACATTACTGTACTGCAAACGACAGCTAAGAAGCAAGAATCTCTCTGGACTGCTACTGCTTTCCTTTTTCTATGAATTTACCTTATCTCCTCTTAAAAAGGTAGGGTTTGGTTTTTTATTTTGTTGTAACTAGACTTCTTCAACATACACACAAACAGCATAATTTATCTACGGAAAAAAGGGGAAAAAAGAATATTTATCTGAATAACTGATTTTAGATAGAGTCTATCTTCCTACAAATTCAAGATATGAATTAATAAAGTTAAAATTATTGTTCAATGACTGTACGACCTAATCAAATACTGTCCCTACAGGGCAGTAAATAAGTAAACTGGGGACGGAGAGACTGCCCTTCAGCTTGGATTCTCCCCAGCCTCCCTTTGCTTTTAACTAAGTATTGGTATTGTAAAACGTCTACACATGCTACGGATTTGGGGGCAGGGTTGAAAATTTGCTTCTGCTCCATCCCAGTTAAGTGCCTAAACTGGGAGGTCTACAACTGACTTCTCTGGACAAGTCCTGCCGCTGCTGAGTGTCAGTCCTCCTGCCACAAAATGAAAAAAAACACTGATTTTCTTTCACAGGAATACTTAAGTATTCTTTATATACTTTACTTAAGTAAACAGATCATAGAGATGCTTCTGCAAAAAAGTATTATCCAGGGCAGAATTATCTTCCTGCTTTGGGCCATTTGAATATTATGAGAAGATACGAACTAAAAAACCTAAACTGGTTGGCATCTCCTCCCAGTCTCCTTTAATGTTGAGTGAAAAAAAACCCCAACCAACTGAGGTAGTGGAAGGATTTTGCCACATGGTGGTGCTGAGTGTCCTGTGTAAAACAGGCTATTCTCAGCGGTGGCCACTTCCGCCTACTGGTCCTATAGGCAAGATTTCAATTTCAAATGCCCAATACCAATTAGTGTTATTGAAGACCAGTTACTTCATTTTAGTTACGCTGAACACAATTTGCGAATTACGCCTTCTGTTTTTAAGAATAAGTGAGTTCATTAACGGGGCAGAAAAAATTCCGTCGTCAAATCCTATTCCTGAATTACCATCTGTCAGTTTTTCCCTTCAATTACTCCCACTCAAAATCTGAATATTAAAAACCCTCCGCAGCTAAGCGGAGAAAGCGAATACCAAAAGGTCAAGATTCATTATGAGCACAGAAATCCAACGATTCTGCTGGACAAAATGGGACGCCTCTTACTCGGATTTTGTTCCACAATGAAAAAGATAAGCGTTGGCTAAAAATAAGCAGCTTAATAATGGAAGTAAAAATACTGATCTGAAGACATTTATACCAAACAAGAATTTCTACCTGGCACCACTAAGTGTCCTTCACTATTTCTACAGAAATACTTATAGAAGTAGTGCTTTGAATTTTTCATCAATTTTTGATGGTAAGTAAAGGCAGGTTTATCAGTCTCCCAACAGGCATTAAAAAATTACACCATTTGATAGCGTGTGATTAGAGCTGCTCAATTACAATTCTTTTTGAAAACTAATTAGTATACAATTTCATACTTAATTTAATCACTAGTATCAACACGGTTATTTTTCCACAAGTGCACTGATAAAAGGGCACTTCTTCTAGAAAACACTGCTGCTATCTAAAGAAGTAACTTTTAAGACCTGATCTTCAACTGAACACCAGACAAACTTCTCCATCGTCTCCTGCGCTATCTAAAGAAGTAACTTTTAAGACCTGACCTTCAACCGAACACCAGACAAACTTCTCCTCCATCATTTCCTGTACCACAGTAAAGGGCAGCTCTCTACCTTAATTTTTTCAGAAGCTTTCATGTCCCTAAGCATTTGGGATGGTGTCACTTCCTATATTCATTCAGCCACAAACAGTTGAACTCAACTATGCAAAGGTTAGCATCAAAGTACAAACAGAACCAGTCTAAAATTAAAATTACTTCGGTTTAAATTAACTTAAAACTAACAGAACCAGTCTAAAATTAAAATTACTTCAGTTTAAATAAAACTTATAAAGAGCCAAGTGATCAAAATTTCCAGAGTCATACAGTTGATCTCGATTCACACCTGAAGCTACTGTTCCAACAAAAAAAACAATTTGTTTGCCTGCATGCAGAGGAAACAGCTGATTTTAAGAATTCTTCACATGAAACACCTGAAAACTGGCTTTGTTTAAAAGTGTGGGTTACAGGAACCACCCAAGGAAGCCAAGAAACCCACAGAGCAGGCTTCTGTGTCCAAATGCTGCTCAGCCATGGTCGGCCACAGCTCACCATCCACAGAGAATGTTTTTCTAACAGGGTTAAGCTGCAATAACATCAGAATTGCTTCTTTTAAGATCCAACCAGCATGCCTGGTTAAGCTTCTGACTTTTAACACAACCAAAACAATTTGACTTGGCAAGCTTTTCAAATATAAAATACTATTCTACGATAACAGTAGCTTTTCTTCTGAAAAAGGTCTCCTTTAAATTTTAAGAATAAAGTGGTAAACATCTCCAAATTCTGTGGAACTGGAAGACATGGAATATAGCAAGAATTAACAGGACAAGAAAACTCAGTTTCTGAGCATTGTTACTGTAATGTCTGTCTAAGAAGTGCTGCAACAGTTCTGTGTATTTCTTTCTTTTCTTTTTTCTATCAGAGATTTTGGCTAAAACATTCAGAAGCAGCAGCAAACACTTTCATTTCTAATAACTTACTATTTAAAACTGCAGTTACTGTCACAGAACTAAACTGAAGTAGTAACTATATTATGCAATAGACATTTTTTCAGAATGCAAGGCAATAACAATAAATACACCTTTCATGAAAGTGTACTAGCTCCTCTAATCACTTGAAACAGTTCCACAGACACAAGAACTTCACAGATGGCATCAAGAGAATCTGTACAGTATCTTCAGAACAGGAACCTATTGCACAGAGCAGCCAAGCTAAAAACAATAGCTCGTTTACAAGAGCTGAGTCTGAAGTTCACTATAAAGAAAACCCATCTCACCTTTTTCATCGGGCCTCAAAGAAGGGAATTTCTTCTCTCCAGTTGGCAATTCAGGTTTTGGAGCTGAATGCAAGAAACAAACCGTAGACGTTTCTCAAAAAGCTTTAATTATCTTAGTCACTAACTAAAAATATGACATACACCAATTTGTGTTTATATTTTCTCCTTTGCAAGGAGTATAAAACCATTTATAAACACTCATCTGAGTCCAGCAAACTGTAGGCCTCTATTAAAATGTTTCCAAAGCAGGCTCCATCATAATTTTGAAAAATATATAGCAGCAATGTAATACATAAAGCACAAAAAGTAGCTTCAAGCTGTGACTATGGGTGCCTGAATTACTAGGAAACACAAAGGTACTTCTGAATTTTCTTCTGAAGTCATGCACTACTTCTGAAATTTAATATTTCTCCTCAGACATGTACCGCCATACGGACATTACGTACCTGGAGTTTTTATTGGAGGTGGAGGTTTCTTTGGCTTCTGCAAAATGCAATTAAAAAAAAAAACAAAGTCAGAACAAACAGATATTCTCTACCAAAGACGGGTTTATTTGTGGTTTGTTACACACCCTGTAATGTCTAGCTTGTTTGCTAACTGATTTCAAAGTATTTCACAAAGGAGGCAATCAATTCACAGACAGAAAACACAGAGAACTGGAATAATTCCTCTAATATCTCCCAGACAATCAGGTGCAAAAACGGGAACAAAATGCATTGTTCTTAAAACTTAGATCAGTGCTTCAGCAACAGGCATAAGCCACAGAGGTACGAAGAACTAAAAATTAAGAATTACCTCTTTTCTAGTCCAAAGACTTGCTCTGATGGCACCCATTTTAATTTCAATATGTAAACCTCAATTTGGGTTAATACAATGTGAGTTTAAAAGAGTAATCGGGTAAATTTTTAAGCCAAAACCAGTCACTTTCACTGAAAAAAGAAAAAAGGTTCTAAATATTGTAAGACCTATTTCAATTAATTGACTTCTAAATTGCAGCAAAGTAGCAGCATTTGCAACATTAACACGGCAGTTACACAAAAAACATTGTTTTGAGCTTCCTTATCACTCTATATTAAGTGGGGAGAGATGCACAAAGTACTCTTAGTGATTAAAAGTTTACAAAGTATTACAGTGCCACAGCTTGAACATTTGAACATTGAAAATAACTCTATTTTAAAATGCAGCCACTCGTTACTTTCCTTAAGCTGGTAAAATGGAATTTCAATCTGACAGACGTCTCAAGCTGCCTCACCCTCAGAAACTGATTCATGGAAGTGCTTGAAAAGAGGCTCTTGAAGGTTGTACAAAGGACAAGACTCACTGATAAAACAATCATGAAAGCCTACAAAAAACACTTTATACAAACACTACTGAAATCATATAGGCTGAGGCTAGGACAGCCCCTCCAGAACTGCCCCGTAGTGGGTATTTTTGACACAGTTGCTATGGATGGATTTCACTTCTGCGCCTCCACCACTATTGAATAAGCCCTTAATGCAGAAAGATTTTATTCTGACAAGTGAAATGTAATTAACTAAGCATGAAACCCCATCTTAGATGTCTTCCTCTAGTTTCAGAGAACACAAAAGCTGGTGAACTTAAGTAACAAGAGCCTACTTTCTTTCTTTCCCAAAAAAGCAAACAAACAATCATGAAAGCCTACAAAAAACACTTTATACAAACACTACTGAAATCATATAGGCTGAGGCTAGGACAGCCCCTCCAGAACTGCCCCGTAGTGGGTATTTTTGACACAGTTGCTATGGATGGATTTCACTTCTGCGCCTCCACCACTATTGAATAAGCCCTTAATGCAGAAAGATTTTATTCTGACAAGTGAAATGTAATTAACTAAGCATGAAACCCCATCTTAGATGTCTTCCTCTAGTTTCAGAGAACACAAAAGCTGGTGAACTTAAGTAACAAGAGCCTACTTTCTTTCTTTCTTTCCCAAAAAAGCAAATGCATTATCCAGCTGTGCAGCACCGCTGCCTCCACCAAAAGCAGTTACATCGGGGGTTCAGCACCCCCTTGCCATTCTGTGATTCTGATCTGGGTTTTTATTACTTTGATATCAAATAGCTAATTACAATAATTGGCCATTCAGCTCCTTGAACTTCAAAGCTGCTCAGTGCAAGGTGAATCCCTGTACCCAGGCACACTACACAGGGTAGAATAAAGGATCAAAGCAAACGATGTTTCCTATAGACAGACTTTATGGCAGAAGAATCACCTTTTTTCCCCCCTCTTTCAAGGGAGCAAATCTGTATTGTGGACCAGCAATACTACTCACCAAGTCAGCCATATGGTACAGCATTTATGCCATCCTTGCAAAGCTGAGAATGAATTTGAAAAGAAAACGCTGCCTGGGATAACTAGACTTTCTGTGTACGATAGGTACCTGACGTTAAATACTAAATTAATCACCATCTGTCAGGTTGTATCTAGCAATCCTCTGTGAATGTCTCCAATTCCGGACCAAATGACACTAAATTACCATGAATTTGCTCTGCTGAAATGCAGGCTTCAATGTTTAGATGTCATGGAGCTGAATTCCTCACATCTAGGGATGCCGTACATTTGTGAATTGACACAACCATCTTTGCTACGTAACCTGGTCCAGAATCAAAACATCCCACTAACATCCACAAAGGAAAAAACCCACCAAGAAACAAAAAAACCCTCAAAAAATAATTATAAGACCAAGGAGTACGACATGAAAACACAAATTTCTACAAGTTAGCACATAAGATGGTGAAAAAATATTTCTAGATCCCACCTGAAGATCATCCTTCATGCACTCCAACCTCCTGACAAACTTAACATGGAAAAACCCCAGTTGGTCCCACAGGGCTCCTTCAGCATTTTGCAATTGTAGTTACTTAAAGGACTATAGATAGAAGAGATCAACTGCTTATCTCCTTTCAAAACACTAAGGGTTTAATTCAGTAATCAGTTTAACCTTTAAATCTTTCTTCTTTGATAGAGTTAATTCAAGATAAAGTTAAAAACCACCACAGTTGTAATAAGATCTGAAGCAGCACAATGAGCTGTGAAGTCTTTTATTCCTTGAATTTCCATTAAGACTTTTTTGCAATACTAAACGATGCATGTAAGAACTTACAGGGAAGTCTTTATCAGACTCTTGTATTTGAACTACAAAATTCTCTGGGAGGAATCCTTCTTTACCATTGAGTTCTCCTTTCCACCAGCCTAGCTGTCCAGTATCCTAAAATAAACAACAGAACATTTCAATCAATATTTACTTCTTCCCTGGAACAGATACAGTTACAAGAACAACATTTTTGCTTTTACCCACAATATAAAATAATTGCTTGTCTGAAATACTGCATTTATAAGTGGAATACTTTGGCCACCTTCGGCAGGGGAAACAGCTGCAGATCAGATTAGGTTTGGTCACTTTTTGTTTGTTATCTAAAAAACAGGATGAAATTATATTACATCATATATAAGATAAGGGCATAAGGATAAGATCTGCAAAGAGAAGGAAAGTACATAAACCCAGTTATGACCCAACGTACAATATTCAATATTCTCAACTTCCTTGACCAACAGCTTATTCAGTAAACACTTCAAGTGCAATTGGAGTAACACAAAATTCAACTAAATAAAAATTATTCTGATGTAATTGATCAGGTGCAGTGGTCTGAAAAGGGTGAAGAAGAAAGAGATATACCCTACTCTGGTTAAAAATAGCCACACTGGGACATAAGAAAAAAAAAAATATGGAGAATTAAATCAGTGGCACAGAAATCCATTACATGATCTTACTGGCTTGAGGCCTCAGTCTGTCCATGACAGAAAGTACGATGCTATTTGAATATTTTAGCAGCGTAAATAAGAGCTTTCCTCTGTGTCTCAGATCCAAAGTACTGCAGATGTCACTGCTGTGTACAAGTCCGAGGGGATTACTGCTGACATGGGCCACTGTCAGCAGCACCAAGTAGTTCATCCCAAAGTTGGGGATGAACAAAGACAATTCAGCGCTGAGATGTGGAACAGATGAAGGAGAGGGGAAAAAAAATAAAACGTTGAATAAAATAATTCAAGAAAAAAAATCCCACCCCACATTAACCTAAAGGAGGGATCAGCAGGAAAAAGACCTGAATAGATAACTAATGCTGAAAATAAAAGTTTGCTAAAGTTTCATTGTCTCCCTCTGACACACTTTCAACAAAGTACTAGAGTCCAATTTCATTAACTTCTATGTTTTTTCTGAAATAGCAAGTAACACCAACACCTGGATTTCATTCTCCTACTTAAAACATTTGCTCAGTTTTCTTCGTAATACCTAGATCAGAATCCTTAAGTACAGATACTAATTCCTTATCTTTTGACACAATAATGCTTTCCAACCACCATACCTAGGTTAGCCTGAAATATCACCAGAGAAAAAGTACAAGTTCTGAAGGTGAAAGGGCTACTTGTAAAACTTTTCCAATTTCCTCACTGAAAAGGCATTTGGTCCCGGTACACTGATCCAACTGGAATCTAAGATAACTTCCTACTCTGGAACAATCTTTAAATATCTCCAAGTGCAGGAGAAAAAAGTTGACTCTCACACAAGGCAAATACGTCTCCAAGAGTATTTAGTCAAACAGACTCTCTTGCTTTCCTATTTCACACATTACCTACCAGTACAAAATCCACAAAAGCTATTAAAAAGGTTAAAGCAGACCAAATTTCTTACCTTACTGATTATTTGAATGATCTCCCCTTCTTTAAAGCTGAGTTCATCATCTGAGCCTTCATAGGGAAGTGTCGTCCTGCAATATTCCTTGGCTGAAACAAAGCAGCACAATTAACTACATTTGCATACCACGGGTAGTAACGTTAAAATTTGCTCTGCTGAAATGCAGGCTTCAATGTTTAGATGTCATGGAGCTGAATTCCTCACATCTAGGGATGCCGTACATTTGTGAATTGACACAACCATCTTTGCTACGTAACCTGGTCCAGAATCAAAACATCCCACTAATATCCACAAATAAAGAAAAAAACCCACTAAGAAACAAAAAAAAAAACCCCAAAAAATAATTACAAGACCAAGGAGTACAAACCTGGTCCAGAATCAAAACATCCCACTAACATCCACAAAGGAAAAAACCCACCAAGAAACAAAAAAACCCTCAAAAAATAATTATAAGACCAAGGAGTACGACATGAAAACACAAATTTCTACAAGTTAGCACATAAGATGGTGAAAAAATATTTCTAGATCCCACCTGAAGATCATCCTTCATGCACTCCAACCTACTGACAAACTTAACATGGAAAAACCCCAGTTGGTCCCACAGGGCTCCTTCAGCATTTTGCAATTGTAGTTACTTAAAGGACTATAGATAGAAGAGATCAACTGCTTATCTCCTTTCAAAACACTAAGGGTTTAATTCAGTAATCAGTTTAACCTTTAAATCTTTCTTCTTTGATAGAGTTAATTCAAGATAAAGTTAAAAACCACCACAGTTGTAATAATAACTGAAGCAGCACAATGAGCTGTGAAGTCTTTTATTCCTTGAATTTCCATTAAGACTTTTTTGCAATACTAAACGATGCATGTAAGAACTTACAGGGAAGTCTTTATCAGACTCTTGTATTTGAACTACAAAATTCTCTGGGAGGAATCCTTCTTTACCATTGAGTTCTCCTTTCCACCAGCCTAGCTGTCCAGTATCCTAAAATAAACAACAGAACATTTCAATCAATATTTACTTCTTCCCTGGAACAGATACAGTTACAAGAACAACATTTTTGCTTTTACCCACAATATAAAATAATTGCTTGTCTGAAATACTGCATTTATAAGTGGAATACTTTGGCCACCTTCGGCAGGGGAAACAGCTGCAGATCAGATTAGGTTTGGTCACTTTTTGTTTGTTATCTAAAAAACAGGATGAAATTATATTACATCATATATAAGATAAGGGCATAAGGATAAGATCTGCAAAGAGAAGGAAAGTACATAAACCCAGTTATGACCCAACGTACAATATTCAATATTCTCAACTTCCTTGACCAACAGCTTATTCAGTAAACACTTCAAGTGCAATTGGAGTAACACAAAATTCAACTAAATAAAAATTATTCTGATGTAATTGATCAGGTGCAGTGGTCTGAAAAGGGTGAAGAAGAAAGAGATATACCCTACTCTGGTTAAAAATAGCCACACTGGGACATAAGAAAAAAAAAAATATGGAGAATTAAATCAGTGGCACAGAAATCCATTACATGATCTTACTGGCTTGAGGCCTCAGTCTGTCCATGACAGAAAGTACGATGCTATTTGAATATTTTAGCAGCGTAAATAAGAGCTTTCCTCTGTGTCTCAGATCCAAAGTACTGCAGATGTCACTGCTGTGTACAAGTCCGAGGGGATTACTGCTGACATGGGCCACTGTCAGCAGCACCAAGTAGTTCATCCCAAAGTTGGGGATGAACAAAGACAATTCAGCACTGAGATGTGGAACAGATGAAGGAGAGGGGAAAAAAAATAAAACGTTGAATAAAATAATTCAAGAAAAAAAATCCCACCCCACATTAACCTAAAGGAGGGATCAGCAGGAAAAAGACCTGAATAGATAACTAATGCTGAAAATAAAAGTTTGCTAAAGTTTCATTGTCTCCCTCTGACACACTTTCAACAAAGTACTAGAGTCCAATTTCATTAACTTCTATGTTTTTTCTGAAATAGCAAGTAACACCAACACCTGGATTTCATTCTCCTACTTAAAACATTTGCTCAGTTTTCTTCGTAATACCTAGATCAGAATCCTTAAGTACAGATACTAATTCCTTATCTTTTGACACAATAATGCTTTCCAACCACCATACCTAGGTTAGCCTGAAATATCACCAGAGAAAAAGTACAAGTTCTGAAGGTGAAAGGGCTACTTGTAAAACTTTTCCAATTTCCTCACTGAAAAGGCATTTGGTCCCGGTACACTGATCCAACTGGAATCTAAGATAACTTCCTACTCTGGAACAATCTTTAAATATCTCCAAGTGCAGGAGAAAAAAGTTGACTCTCACACAAGGCAAATACGTCTCCAAGAGTATTTAGTCAAACAGACTCTCTTGCTTTCCTATTTCACACATTACCTACCAGTACAAAATCCACAAAAGCTATTAAAAAGGTTAAAGCAGACCAAATTTCTTACCTTACTGATTATTTGAATGATCTCCCCTTCTTTAAAGCTGAGTTCATCATCTGAGCCTTCATAGGGAAGTGTCGTCCTGCAATATTCCTTGGCTGAAACAAAGCAGCACAATTAACTACATTTGCATACCACGGGTAGTAACGTTAATACCAGCTCACTTATGCTGTCTGAAAGGAGAGCTCAGAAATTAACACCATAATCATACTTCCCTTCTAGACCAGCCATCTGAGACTGCTTTCAAAGGTTCACCATGTAATTCATATCACAAGAAAAATATTATGGATGTGCAGAGCAATGGAGGTAAATCTTTAAGTCAGTAGTTCAAGCTCTAAAACACTTTTTCCATAACAGCAACTTAATTCAAGTACTCTGACTTCCAAGGGAGAGGAACCTACTCAGTTAAACTTGTAACAGCCTATCGAGCCCTCCCCATAGCATTACATATTCCATTTTGAGCTACTTTTAGACAAAGTTGTTTCAAGCTTTTCATTATTTTACACTATCTTCTCTCAAAATTCATCCAAATTTCAAATTTGCAATCCTAATTAAATACAAACAGTTGTTTCAAGGATCCCTTATTAACACTTCTGTACAATTACAGAAACTTCAAATACCCAAGCAGCACTTTTGCTGAAACTCTACAGTGAAACCAAGTAACTGAAGCAAAGGAATTCCTTGGCTAAGCACCTGAAACCAGAGCTCATCTGAGTGATCAGCTCGGACAGTCACAGCCTCTTCTGCAAAAGCAGAAAGAATAATTCCTTTCTTTCCATTTGGTACAGTTCAATAACTAATCCATTTAAAATTGTGATAACGATTTCAGGTGAAGAAGCAGGAGGGTTTGTTTTCCTTTCCCACGCTAGAACAAAAACAACATGAGAAAGGCCAAAATACATTAATATAGAAGTCTTGCTCGCAAATCTTTTTTTTTAAACCCAGCATATTTAAAAGAATTTAGCAGATAGAACGTCTGGATTTCTGTATCTGACAGATTAAGGAAGAGGAAGCAAACAAAAAGGACTCCTCTGCCCTGCCGTGACCGATCAGGTGTTTGGCACTGACAGCACACACAGATGAGCAGCACAACATCGTCAGTAGGATCCTCTGCAAGTCTTAATGAACACCTTTGGGTGGCTGGCAAGAAAATAAATGAGCTAGTTGCAGTTAAATCTTTTTGTTGGATTTTCTTTAATCCTGATACAAATCTTTAGTTAGAAAAGGTACAAATTGTATTCTTAAATGAAAACATGCCTCGGTCAGTGCCAACCACTAAGTTAAAATGCAAAAAGTATGCCAAGCCAAAGAGATAGATCTATATAGATACACACAGATATGTAATTACTCACGACATGAGTAATCCCAGGTACAAGAACTTGCATTATTTTATTGCCTTATCTAATAATCAAAACTGCTTAACTATAGATTATGGTGGTTTGTGAAGAATTACGGAAACATAAGCAGAACAATGTCAGAGATGAACATTCAAATCAAAGTCCAAAAAAAAAGCACAATGACTCTAAAAAAAAATAAAATAATTCAACATGCATACTACAAAGATGAAGGAGAGGGGAAAAAAAATAAAACGTTGAATAAAATAATTCAAGAAAAAAAATCCCACCCCACATTAACCTAAAGGAGGGATCAGCAGGAAAAAGACCTGAATAGATAACTAATGCTGAAAATAAAAGTTTGCTAAAGTTTCATTGTCTCCCTCTGACACACTTTCAACAAAGTACTAGAGTCCAATTTCATTAACTTCTATGTTTTTTCTGAAATAGCAAGTAACACCAACACCTGGATTTCATTCTCCTACTTAAAACATTTGCTCAGTTTTCTTCGTAATACCTAGATCAGAATCCTTAAGTACAGATACTAATTCCTTATCTTTTGACACAATAATGCTTTCCAACCACCATACCTAGGTTAGCCTGAAATATCACCAGAGAAAAAGTACAAGTTCTGAAGGTGAAAGGGCTACTTGTAAAACTTTTCCAATTTCCTCACTGAAAAGGCATTTGGTCCCGGTACACTGATCCAACTGGAATCTAAGATAACTTCCTACTCTGGAACAATCTTTAAATATCTCCAAGTGCAGGAGAAAAAAGTTGACTCTCACACAAGGCAAATACGTCTCCAGGAGTATTTAGTCAAACAGACTCTCTTGCTTTCCTATTTCACACATTACCTACCAGTACAAAATCCACAAAAGCTATTAAAAAGGTTAAAGCAGACCAAATTTCTTACCTTACTGATTATTTGAATGATCTCCCCTTCTTTAAAGCTGAGTTCATCATCTGAGCCTTCATAGGGAAGTGTCGTCCTGCAATATTCCTTGGCTGAAACAAAGCAGCACAATTAACTACATTTGCATACCACGGGTAGTAACGTTAATACCAGCTCACTTATGCTGTCTGAAAGGAGAGCTCAGAAATTAACACCATAATCATACTTCCCTTCTAGACCAGCCATCTGAGACTGCTTTCAAAGGTTCACCATGTAATTCATATCACAAGAAAAATATTATGGATGTGCAGAGCAATGGAGGTAAATCTTTAAGTCAGTAGTTCAAGCTCTAAAACACTTTTTCCATAACAGCAACTTAATTCAAGTACTCTGACTTCCAAGGGAGAGGAACCTACTCAGTTAAACTTGTAACAGCCTATCGAGCCCTCCCCATAGCATTACATATTCCATTTTGAGCTACTTTTAGACAAAGTTGTTTCAAGCTTTTCATTATTTTACACTATCTTCTCTCAAAATTCATCCAAATTTCAAATTTGCAATCCTAATTAAATACAAACAGTTGTTTCAAGGATCCCTTATTAACACTTCTGTACAATTACAGAAACTTCAAATACCCAAGCAGCACTTTTGCTGAAACTCTGCAGTGAAACCAAGTAACTGAAGCAAAGGAATTCCTTGGCTAAGCACCTGAAACCAGAGCTCATCTGAGCGATCAGCTCGGACAGTCACAGCCTCTTCTGCAAAAGCAGAAAGAATAATTCCTTTCTTTCCATTTGGTACAGTTCAATAACTAATCCATTTAAAATTGTGATAACGATTTCAGGTGAAGAAGCAGGAGGGTTTGTTTTCCTTTCCCACGCTAGAACAAAAACAACATGAGAAAGGCCAAAATACATTAATATAGAAGTCTTGCTCGCAAATCTTTTTTTTTAAACCCAGCATATTTAAAAGAATTTAGCAGATAGAACGTCTGGATTTCTGTATCTGACAGATTAAGGAAGAGGAAGCAAACAAAAAGGACTCCTCTGCCCTGCCGTGACCGATCAGGTGTTTGGCACTGACAGCACACACAGATGAGCAGCACAACATCGTCAGTAGGATCCTCTGCAAGTCTTAATGAACACCTTTGGGTGGCTGGCAAGAAAATAAATGAGCTAGTTGCAGTTAAATCTTTTTGTTGGATTTTCTTTAATCCTGATACAAATCTTTAGTTAGAAAAGGTACAAATTGTATTCTTAAATGAAAACATGCCTCGGTCAGTGCCAACCACTAAGTTAAAATGCAAAAAGTATGCCAAGCCAAAGAGATAGATCTATATAGATACACACAGATATGTAATTACTCACGACATGAGTAATCCCAGGTACAAGAACTTGCATTATTTTATTGCCTTATCTAATAATCAAAACTGCTTAACTATAGATTATGGTGGTTTGTGAAGAATTACGGAAACATAAGCAGAACAATGTCAGAGATGAACATTCAAATCAAAGTCCAAAAAAAAAGCACAATGACTCTAAAAAAAAATAAAATAATTCAACATATATCTATCAAATTTGGGCATTTTATTAATTAGTAAAGAATAAGTGTAACACATTTCTATGTGTCTTTATTCTGTAAAAATACATAAATTCCTGTACTGCCAGTACAGCCGAACTACTCAATCCTCCTTTTCTCTCCTTCTCCAAGCACTTCTCCCCTCCCACATACACCAAGTCCCAAAACAGACAGAAAACTGGGCCAGAACAGGAAGCTTTGACTCTGCTCCAGCTGCCAGGAAGGCTGGTAGCATTATACCCTGCAGGCTGCCACTGTCCCCTCGTGTGCCAGTCAGCACCACCTGAGAAACCCAGCCTGGTACCTTAAGAATATGAACAATTTCCCACTTCAGCATCTCCTTTTAGGAGCCCGATATTCTGCCAGGAGTTAAGACAGAGTCCAGTTTAACTTTCCATCTAAGATAGTATTTATAAGACAGTAAATTTGAACTTCAGTAAATATTTTTAATAAAGGTATTTTAAAACTGAATCTTTTCCAAAGTCTTGGGACTAACAACACGGTAGTGGGAATGACAGATGCTGTATTCTAACATAATGGGGGGAAAGAGGAGTCAAATTGTGATTATTTTATTTTTTAAACAAAATATTTTTACATACTTGCACCAGAGGCCAAAACAAGCTTCCCAGAAATAGAAGAGCCACACCAAAATAAGCCACACTAGTCTAAACATTTTAGAGATCTGTTTATTTGCTAACATACTGCACACAGTTTATTTTCAACTTGCTTTCTCGAAACAGAGGATGATATACATAAGCTCTAATATGGTCCATATTAAAATAAAAACAGTAAAAAAGAAAACTAAGGTTTCTTCCAAAGGTTGTAAGTTCTTAAATGGTGTTTATAGGTATTACCTACTGATGTTCTCCTACAGCATCTATTACCACCACACTTAAGTTCCTCTCTGATATATTTGTTTCCCTGGGGAGCAGAGACTCAGCATGGCTACTGGACTAGTCCCATTTTTTGCTTTTAGCATGAGATCCACCTGGAATTGTGAAAAAAAGCTAAATACTGGATGTTCTGACTGCTCAGCACTGAACGCTCAGATTTTTTAAGGCAGACTTGGGTTAATTTTTATGCAACATTTCAGAACAAGCCAAATTTCCCAGTGCCCAGGGCTGTGCACTGTTGCTGGTTCTTACAGCAATAGCTCTGAAATGGTTTAAAAGCAAGATCCTGAGATTATCCTAATTTTGAAGTTTAGTAAAGACTTCAAAGATGCAAGCAAGCATCAGCTTCCATCAAATGCATTGTACACATTTGATATATTCTCTGCAATGGGAAAACTTAAGCAGTAACTACTATCAAGCCACTAAACCAAACATTTCTTGACAGTATCAGCTCTTTGTAAACATGGTAATGTTATTTATAGCTATTCAATGCCAAAAACTGGCTAAAATGGCACAGATGCCCTTGTATGCCCTCTATCTATAATTCTATAGGTACAGAAAAAACAGGGTTTTGACTACCAAACCTGTCATTTCAATAGCCCTGTGTTCAAACTCCTGAATACAGACAAAAATACAATTGTTTCTCGCAGTTTTCTTATTTTTGCAAATTATGTGCTCCATGTAAAACAGCCCACTTGCACCAAAAATAAGGTATTTCCACATAATACAAAAATATACTTGAAAATACAATACAGAAATAGAAAAAAACATCCGCTCTGGAACCAGGTGAAACGAGCTGGTTTCTACACATCACATAATTGAAGTTAATTTTTTGTACGGGGTTGGCACTCCCACAAGATGTTTTGGGTTGGTTTAAAAATATCTCCTTAGATTAAAAAAAAAAGCAATTTGGTAGTTAAATGAAGTCATAAATTCTTAGAGATAAGAAAAATAAAAAAGAAGTTTTTATAAACAGAACCAGAATGGAATGGGGTTATCTAGGGAACAGACTTCAACAGAATATAAGCACCAGTTTTCTGATGCAAGAAGCTTAGCCTACACTGGGAACTCCACCGTAAATCCTGAGCCTAGAAAGTAACTTCTATAACCTAGAGACAGAAACTTGAGTTAGGGGACTGTTCCATAGCAACAGATTTTCAACATCCCAGCTGGACACTAAAAGATAACCAGAAAGTCAGTCAGTTTGAGCATGTTAACATAGCAAATTAATGCAAAGGGGCGGCTGCAATTAAACTTTATCATTTAGCCTTATTTTGGTCTAGGAGACAACCCTACAAATGGCTGGTATTCATTTTCCACAGAAACACAAAGCAAAATCTCCTTCAGACTCTTTTGCATTTGTCCTACAAATGGCTGGTATTCATTTTCCACAGGAACACAAGCAAAATCTCCTTCAGACTCTTTAGCATTTGCGTAACTCCTTAAAGGTACAGAACATTACACAAAAACCCAGTATACACAAAAGTTTAAGATTTTAACACAAAACAAACTGACAATAGATGGTAATAGATGCACCAAGTAATAGAAGTACATTTCCATCAGCCTTACCTTTTGGTTTACTTTCTGCTTCTGATTTTGGGGGTTCTGATGAGTTTTCAGGTTTTATTGTACTGGGAAAATGAATTAGCTTTGTTCCAGAGGGATGGTTAGGTGATGGCTATATGAACAAAAGAGAACTTTGTTAACAAAACTTCATTACAAGTTCTAATTTTTTTAATCAGGCTACAGGACATACTCAGGTTTTCAGTAGTTGCAGTGATGCGAAGGACCATCTCCAAGAGATTCAATGAGGTTTCCCATTAAGTACTTAACTTACTGCAGTTATTTCATTACAGCCACTGCAATTAAGAATTTTGTCTACCGATTAATGACACAGCACAGGATGTTGCCAGATATACTTTTGCAATGGTATTCCAGCAGTCCCAAAAGTTAGTGTTCCATTACCCTGAAGATTGCCTCCTCCAGTGCAGGACAGCAGCAGTTATTTATCAGCTCTGCTGAAAGTAACTCACTGACCACCTTTACTTTGCACTGGAATAAAGCAGGAATATTCAGCAGCCATACACAAACTCAGCTGAACAACCAATTTTTGAACTACTCAGACAAATATAAAAGCACATGAAAGCCTGTCCCAGCTTCCCTTCACTTCGAATGATTCATACAGAACAGAAGCAGAACACATAAACGTCACTAGAGATTTCTCCCAGACCACACAGGCATTACAACCCGTAACTTGCTTCAGAGTTAACATCTAACCAAACTAATTGTTCCAATATTAATTTTTTTCCCCCCAGGAGACTTACTGAGCTGCCAAAAATATTCAGACAGCTTCAGCTGCATTCACTTCTTCACAGCTCTATGAGCTACCGACACAGAATACAATCTTACCGTCAGTGCTTACCTGAGCAGCCCTAATAGTGCTATTGATGGTGAAAATCCCATTGCCTTTAGTTACTCTGTTCATTTTCATGCACAGTTAAACTTCACAGACTTTCTACTGTCAAAGAAACTGGATTTACTCTCCTTAAAATCAGACGATGCCTGTGGGCTGGTGTTTGGTACCTCTGACATCCCGTAGAGGAAGCCACGGTCATTTGGGGACATTCTCAAGAGTACATATGCAATTTAACTCGCTCCAGAATGCTATATGAAGGAAGCACTAAAATAACCCACCTACCACATTAAACCATTCCAACATGGAAATAGTCCTCCACATTTCCCCCCTTCCAAAAGGGGATGCAATTAGAAATATGAGAGGAAGTTTAGGCAGGTGAGGTATAAATAGCCTGAGCCCAGGCAGGATGCTGGGACCAGCTCAAACCTATCTCACAATCTCTTGCTGAAGCATATGTACTCTGGAGCACTTCAGACTCAAAAGTGCTCAGCCTTCCTGTGCTGAATGTTCACCAAATTCCCCAAAGGGAAAAAAGTCCTCTCTAGAGTTTCCTGAATACAGCTTTTTTGCTTTAGTGGATGAAAGCCTGAGAACACCCTTCCAGCATCCCTCCATCTAACTTCAAAGCAAGTTGAGCACAACTCCACAGAAACCTTCCATTTTCATAAGACCTTAATGAGAAGTATCTCCCCAGGCCTCTCCAGGCTGTTCTGTAAGTCTGCCCACCTTTGGGATGACTTCAGGAACAAGCGTAAGTGGAATATTAAGTGCTAAACTCAACTGTTTATTTCACTGTCTTTAAGCTACGCAAAATGGTTCTCTCACTTCATTTCACCTCTTGCTGAGAAACAGCCTACAACAACCTTCCAGACAAGCCAACTAACAAAACAGAGTGCCAAAATATTTTAGTGTTTATATACAGTCAAATAACACAATTTGAAATGTCTGAGCAGGCTTCACATTAATGGAACATATTTTGGATAGGCTCTTTATACTCTCAAGTTACAAGGTATAAGTAGGGAGACACACTTTTGAATGATCCATCTCATGGTAGGAAAGCAAATTGAAAGATAGGTCCTGAAATCCCCATCTAACAGCATTCACAGGAAGATATATGGTCCCACAGACTCCTACTGGTCCTGAAATCCCCATCTAACAGCATTCACATGAAGATGTAGTGGTCCCACAGACTCCTACTACAAGGGACAAAGCCTGAAGACAATCAAGGAAAAATCAATGTGCCTTCACAGAACCATAGAATGCTTTGGTCCACAGACTCCTACTGCAAGGGACAAAGCCTGAAGACAATCAAGGAAAAATCAATGTGCCTTCACAGAATTATAGAATGCTTTGGGTTGGAAGGGACCTTCAATGATAATCTTGTCCAGCCCTCCTGCCATGGGCAGGGACACCTCCCACTAGACCAGGTTGCTCAAAGCCCCATCCAACCTGGTCTTGAACACCTCCAGGGATGGGGCATCCACAGTTTCCCTGGGCAACCTGTGCCAGTGCCTCCCCACCTCCATAATGAAGAATTTCTTCCTTGTGTCCAATCTAAATTTACTCTCTTTCAGTCCAAAACCATTGTCCCTCACCCTGTCACTACAGGCCTCGTAAAAAGTTTCTCTCCATTTTTCTTAAAAGCCCCCTTTATATACACTGAAAGGATGCAATAAAGTCTCCCCAGAGACATATTCCTTAGGAGAGAACATGAGAACATTCCTCGAGCCTGGCAAATTTTAAAATGGCCAGTGTAGTCAATATCCATAAGATATTATGTCTTCATATTCCACGCCTTCCAAGTTATTGTTACAGGAAACCCCAAAATAACAATATGAACTGCTACAAACCTTATCTTGCTTTTTATCTTCCAATTCATTACTGGATAATCTTGTCTTAAGTTTCACTGAGCCTTCTTTAAAGATATCTCCAAATCCAATACCTCGGACTTTCTTTGGCTGTGCTGGTCCTGATCCAGGTTCACCCCCATTTCCTGGAGAGATCACAGGTGAGGTAGGACCACTGAAAACAGACTCTGAAAGTAAAAAAAAAAAGAAAAAGATAAAGAAAGTTGTTTTAATAAAAAAAAGTGGAAGTAACACAGCTGTCTGCACTGCTCTTGCTAAACAGCTTTTCTAGGAACATTATTGTAGCTGTAATACTTCACATTTTTTTTAGCTGTGTATTTAGTAGAAGACCATTTGAAAGGACACCAGTATAGCATTGAATATGCTGGCAACTAAGTCATTGGGTCACTAATATTTCTTGCCATTTCAACTCTCACTCAGGCTCTACAGTCTGTTAACATCAATATTACATTTTCCATTAGTTTTATGAAGCATTGCTTACGCATTCTGAAGATGTGCTTTCAGTCCAACATTTAAAAGCTTGTCATTTGCACAGCTATAGCTGCTGAAAGCAATAATCAATAAAGGTCCATAATGAGTCCTACCATTACCACAGGGGGGTGGGGGGAAAAAGAAGTGTGATTCAGTAGCAGAGTGATGCCTCTCAAGACAAAGTGAAATTTCCCTAATGCTCAAAACACACTATCAAAAATACCCAAAAATATGCTTCTGCAAATTTATTTAAATAGTTTTTTAACCTGATAACACTTAAAACCTATTTTAAAGGAGTTAAACATTGAAATCATTGTTTGAGAATTAATCATTGATTCTTTTAATCTTTCCATTTTAAGGGACAATACTTATCCCCACTTAATTTAGGTATTATCTGTTAAAATCTATTTTAGGATGTTCAGGATCCATTTTAAGTGGAGGATCTCTATACTGTTTTCAGTCAATTCCAGTTTTAATTCTCAACTGATATGGTTAAACGCTTAAGGTTTCCATGTTAGAGAACATGTGAGAAAAGCTATTAAATGGAAGAACAATTTTATATCTAGCACTTAAAGCCGCTCAACCCTGAATATGACAACATTTCTAGTGATAAAATGCAGAATATACATTTGCAAGATCAAGACCTTGACTGCAATTTTATTACATATGTATGCGGAGCAAGACAGGTATCTTCATAGTCAGCATCAATATCTTCTAGAATTAAAGTACATACTGTTCTTAGGAAACTTGAATTCTTTGGAACTTGTTGTAATACCATCACAATATGCCAAATTACACCCAAGATCTAAACTGACTTCGCTAGAGGTTTACAACAACCAGAATACCACCTGTGTCGTCCAGAGCATCCTGTGTTTCTCCATCATCCGCCAATTCCAATTCTTTCACAAAGTTTGAAGGAAACAACCCTGCCTTGCCATTTAGTGTTCCACTCCACCAGCCTTCTTCTACCTGTATAGAAATATTTCATACATTAACAATAAAGCAAAAGGAAATCCCTATCAATTCCATCCATACTTCACTTATAAAACTCTACAAACAAATTCGGGAAAGTTCAAATGATTATTATTTCTCTTTAAAGAAACCCACTAAAAGCAGGCAAAAAGAAGAGCAATAAAGTAATTTACTGTAACTTCTATCACTATAGCAATGATCATGGAACATGAAACTGGCCCTATGCCAATTAATCCAGAAAAGCAGCAAAACTCTCATCAACTCTCTCACAGAAAACCAGGCTAACAGTTGCATCTTTATTTCATCGGATGCCAAATTTTGTTGGCTTTGCTATTCATAAAATAACTCATTTTTGCACTGGAAATAAACCTGTTCAGGAATTAGGGAACACAATGACTCCAAAGCTCAGTTATGTGTTTGGATTCCTGGTTATCAGGAATACCCCACGACCCAGATCAGAACAATCCAAAGCAGGGCATGCATAGGTTACAGTATAAAACAGCACCAGAAGACTGAGTAAGAATTGTGCTCTTCAAATTTATGAAGAGTTTTCAAAATGTCTTAAATAAATTGAATGCGTTTGCCTGATGAGCACTATTTAAAATGATAATTAAGTTACATTTTCAAAATATTTCATTTCGATTGCTCTGTTTTGGGACTGGAAAGCTGTTTTTAGATAAGAGGGAAAAGCAACAGGGGAGAAAAAAAAAAGGCAGTTGTTTACATTGTCTTTTTTTAGCCTTGTTTTGTAGGTCACCGTCTGACACACAGGCACAGTTTTTAAACAGTAGCCTACCTCCAGGCAAGCAGAACACATGCAAAGCCTGGCAGCTACGGAGACAGAGAGGCAATGAAAGAGCTTTGTTATTTTTAAAGACATCCTGGTGCTCAAATATAGCTTTGCTTTGCTGTGGATGGTTCAAATTCATAGTTTGGTACCCTGAAAGAAATTTTAAGCGTGGATTACTGACAAGTGCTGAGCAGGCTCTGGTGTCTTGTGCTTTACAAAATACATTACAGAAAACTAAAATGCAAATGCCTTGACTACACCCAAGAGCCATGACAAAGGTACTTTTAATGCTTACGGTACAGAAAACAACTCGAGCATCCATTTATTCTCCTGCCAAGAAATAAGGTCAGCAAAGCGCTTAACAGACATGGAAGGCAAAGCTATGCCTGTTCAGAGACAGGCAGGAATAAGACAAAAGTTCCTTGAGCATACTTGCTTCAGCCTCCTCACAGCACCGTCTTTAAAAATACCTGACTATATAAAACCTATGTGACCCGAAAAGGTATCTTTAATTAACATTTAAAAAGAGGTAAAAGGTCTACATGCCTTGGTGGAGAGCATCTGTGCCTCTCCGGGCACTAACAACGCAGAAGACAGTTTCACAACTCTTTATTTTCCATTTTGAAATCTTACCACATGATACAATTTCCACAAGAGGGAGTTACAGCTCTCATAACAGTATTTTTTTTTTTTTTGAGTGTGAATTCCATCAACTTATTTCTGTAAGATGGTGAAAACTCAGACTCTTCTAAATAAAGCAGAGGGGAAGGCTGAAACAAGCCGTTTTGCCAATCTGAATTTTTTTTTAATAAAAGTCCCCTAATGGAGTCACATGAGTTTTGATTATGCTTGATAAAACAGCATGCAAATACTACAAATATAACACTACAAAAATAAATCTGCTATTTAGTGCTGCATCTGACATAAGAGGGGGGAAGGTATGAAGAAGCACTAAAAGTTTTACAGCAACGATACAGTTATAATGGGCACTTTGTGCCTTTATTTTGCATACAAAATCCACATATTTGGTAAATAAAACCCCCTGTGGATTCTGCCAGCACTCCTCCCTGCAAGGTACTTCTGATCCCTGCAGCCTGCTCTCTTGAATATTAGTCATTTAAGTTCTGAACCCATCGGCCTCCAGCTTTGATTTCACCATCCGTATTGTCAATCATAACTACTCCATTTATGAAAATGATTGCAAGGGATAAATACTGAATTATTCTCAGGTAACTGGTGGAACTGATCCCCTTGTGGAGCTGATTTTACTTTATTTTCCCCATAAAAAAGGGACCAAATGATCTTCCATTGAAGTGACAGTTGTAAGTTATCTGCATATATATAAATAGCACCTTTTATATATAAACAGAAGCGAAGTTAGTCTCACAGTAGTGAAGACAACTTGCCTAAGAGAAGTTATGCCAGCGTATTGCACAACCAGTGGATGGTATTTTGTACCATTCTTTGCATTTTTGGTCCATCAGTAGAGCTTTGTGAAGCAGACCTACCCTACTCTTGTCAAGTCTATTCTGGACCATCACAAAACCAGGATGCAAACAGCTCTGTACTAGTAGTTAGCCACAATATTTTTCCCACCTGTTAGCATTCGTTACCAGTTTTTCTCAGAAGCAGTGAAGGCTGGGTACTACAACTATATATTTTTAAAATCATTAGGAAAGAAAGAAACGTGAGGACTGACCCAAAAAATTAGAAGAATAAAATAAAATCCATGTTTCTTTAAGAAACCAGATGAGGAAATGCTTTGATCTTTTTATTCTGTTTGGCTACTTGGTCATCTCTGATACATCCCACTGAACACCCCTCCCAAAATCATTCCAGGTGTTGACACGAGTGACCCAAAATTGCACCTTCCACAACAGTTTTACTGCACATGCTCTCTCTTCTACACGCTTACATTGGACCAAGCGAAGTCATGACTGCTATGTACAGACACCATCCACAGATTAAGCTGGTGAGGTTTTCCAGGAGCACTCCTTCATGAAACACCCACACGCAATGGCATTTATGAAACTGGGATTTTAGTGAGCAGGTTTGACAAGTCACTTGCTCTGTTTATTCAAAGAGAACAATTTCTATAAGTCATTAGTGCCAATGTATCATAAAGCAATTAGAAACCACCACCAGACACATTTGGTCTTCTCCTTCCTCAGACCCTCAGGGAGCCAGGAAGAAGAGATGACACCAGTGAAAGTCAGAGCATGATCTGCAGAAGTTTTCCCACCTAGTTCTGAAAAGCTTCCTTCCATTATCACTCTATTTTTGTGAAAATGGCTTGAAGTATATTGTACCACAGGTACAGATTTCTGTGCCGAATACTGTTACTGTTAGTTCAAAGCTACACAGAGCTTGCAAGAAAGCATGAAACTCAAAAATAAGGTCAAATAACATTTTTCACCTAAATCAAGATAGAGTAAGTTAACTGAAAGGCAACAGGTCAAAGGGTTTTAGCATAAGCATCCTACAAACAAGAATCAGAGCCAAACAACTGTGAAAGTCTTTCAAAAAAGGAACCTCTGTAACAGATCACAATTTGTTGCTGCAATGATCAAATGCTTCTCCCAGACACCTAGCATGCATAGATTTAGGATTGGATCCTGAAAGAACTCCTAACTATGAGCTTTAGCTTCAGAAACTACTTCTCACGCCATTTTTCCAAACATCCTTGTAATTCAGGTAATCGGCCATAAAAACTATTTGACTTTTGGCCATATAAAAAGATAATTAGCTCTGTAAAACAGCTTACCTCTTCAATGATGTCAATCATATCCCCTGGCTTGAGTTTCAGCTCATCCTCATTCTGTGGGATGTAATCATAGAGCACTTTGCACTGCCGCTTCTTGGACTCTGAGTCAAAGGAAATGGCAAAAATAAGAAGGCTTGCAAAGAAAAACTAGTTTTTCCCTGCACTCGACTCCTGAGGATCAAATCTGACCAGAACATCCAGAAACCACCCAAAAAGCTATGTAGCTTTTGCTCCTGGTTTTCCAGTTTGCTTGTGTCACTTTAGGCTGGCACCGATATCTTAGGCACAACTTGAAAACCATTGAGCTCTACAGCCTGCCGATTACAAACAAATAAACACTACACTGCCAATTACCAACGTGTTGACACAAGCAAGTCAGATAAACCCCCACTATAATGATTTTTCAAGCTATTTCCTGACCAAAATCTGCAAAAATGACAACCGCTGCCAGTTGCGGTGTTAGCACTTGCTTGGAAGAAAATGTGCAAGTTGGAGCCTCCAGCCTTTAAGCAATCCTGAAAGAAATAAGAAATGTTTTGTTCTGCACAACACTGACACGCAAATAGCTTTTCTGCCCTCTAACAAAGACCTTGCTAACTACAGGTCTGAGGTAATGCTAACATTCGCTTGGCTCATATATCAAAATCCCAACTCATTTTTATCTGCGAATGCAAAAAACCTGTGTTTTCTCAGGGCCAGTATGGAGTCGAGAAATTCAACCTAAAATTCAATTAGCAGTGTTTGACATAAGCAACATTAAAACAAAGTGCAGTCTTTTGATGTTTGTCACGTATCATTAAAGCTTTGCAGGCATTAAAAAGACAAAATGACATCCTGAGAGGGGAAAGCATTGAAGTGGCTTCCAACAACCCCTCCGGACTGAGCGGTGTGAAGCTACAATTGCCCAATTATCCTGCACATACCCTGGAGTGATGCTACTAATGAACCTGGAGAGTTTAAGTATTTCTCCTTCAAACGGGACCCTGTTCCTTCCAACCTTTTCCACAACACAGCAGCCAGCATGCTTTTGAAAGCAATTGTCATCCCGAGCTATGACCCACACGTGCTCCCTATCCTCCTCAAAAAACAATCTGCCACAGTTTATGAATCAAAACCTTGAAGTGGTAAAGCTTAAGCTTGTAGGAGCTGTATAAATTTCCATACTCTTACACTTTGCACTCCTTCCACTCTCAGGCTTCAGCAATTAAGATTAGCTGGAGAAAAATAGTTCAAAATACAGATAACTGCCTCCAAGATTGATCCTTGTCTTACTAGAGCAGCGTTGAAAGTCCAAAGTCAGACATTTAGCAGCCCGACACACCCAGTACAGAACACGCCAGGCAGCTCAGTAATATTCAGCAACTAAAAATTGCTGAGAGAGGGCTCACCAAATCAAGAATTTGCTACATGCTGGCATACGGTCTGCGCTCTAAAGAGCTTAAAAGGGGGAGGAAACAAATAAACCAGAAGTATGAAGCTCTATGGGTTATTTCTAATAACAGGTAATTGCCCACATAATGCAGCCATCTTTTGACTCCACTGAAACTCATACAGCAGCCAAGAGGAATTGCCAAGTTAACAGTAATTGCAAGAAACGGTTCACTGGCCTTTACTACCTCCTACAGCGCTTTCAGGGCTCCTCCTTTGTATGAGATTAACTGATACTAAAAAAAAAAAAAAAAGGCAAATTAAAAAGTCAAGGCCATTTAATAGAAAACCTACTTCAGCATTCCTTTTCATGCTGTAGCTCTATCTCAATGGAGGGGAAACAAACCCACAGATGCATCTCACATCCAGAACTCGCTCTCCCCTGCAGTCTGTTCTCAGCGACACCCAGTTTAGAAAGTGCTGCCTTCCAGTTGTGAAAATCCCCGGATTAACCTAGGAAGCCAACCCATCCGCTTGGAAAACACCACTCCAGCTTCACCTGGTGCAGCAGCCCTGCTGCTGGGCTGGCAGCCCCCAGGCAATTCTCTCCGTTTCCAAAACAACTACGTCTGGCTTCAGGTTTTATTTGTTTTGTACAGTGTAAACCAAATTTAGCCCTTTGTTGCCATAATTTAGCACACCTCCTGTATTTTCCTTTCCCTGAATAAAGGCAGCCAGCTATCTGATAGCTTCCTGCAGCTTACTACCATCCTGATATAAAATACCTTTTGAGAGCTACACAGGAGACCCACACAAGGGACTTCCCAGGCAGACACAACCTACCTCATCGCACATTGGAAATGTGCTAATAAAGAAGCTTAACTTTGTTTTTAACACTGTAAACCTCATTTTACTAGGTTGGGAACCAGAAACGGAAAGACAACTGAGCACTGGAAAGCTTTTGAAGGGAGTGAGCGATCGCCCAGGCACACAGCAAACAGGATCTGCAGGAGCTGTTTAAACAGTCTTCCAGGAAAGAGGGAACAGGGAGTAAAATGGAAATGCCAGAGATTGTCCTTGTGCCAAGTAAACAGTCGTGTGCTTGAAGGAATGTGTTTGAACACCACTTTCTTCCAGGAGAATGAGACCAGCCAGGGTACTGCAAGGCTTGAGACCCAGTTGTACCTACTATCTGGCCACAGCCACCAGCACGAGGAGGACACATGCTGAATATGGGATCATTCCAGGGTTAGAGAGAGCAGAATGAGTTGCCAACACCTGAAACAGCATCAGATTGTGTTCCTAGAATATATCAGGTTGGAACGACCCATAAGGATCACGTTGATTCCCTTTGAGAGCCTGGTTGCATTAATCTAGGATTTTTCCAGCTAGATTTTCAAAAGCCTGCCGATTCAAGCTTTTAACAGGCACGTATGCGCTGTTGCCAGTACACATATACAGATCAGATTCAATAAAAAGTAATTTTAAAAGGTAACATCCTTAGTTGCCTAGAAGGTTTCAACAAATTTCTAAGTCTGGTGGTCCCATTTCAAGGCTTTAAAAGAGATCTTGTGGCTCTTCTCCTTTTATGGGCAAAAACTCTAAGCATAAACAAAACAGAAACAGTAAGTTCTGAATTCTTTCTTTTTAAAAAAAGCAAGATTAAATCATAAATGGCTGCAATCCCTTGTAAGACAGAGGAAGCCAGAGTAATTTAGAGCAATGTCTCTTATTAGACTGAGGTGCCCAAATACAAATCACAAGTCAATTTTCTGGATGCAGGGAACACTAAATTTTCTGCTCTAGGTTTTAGTTACCTTGAATTAAATACTGGCATTAAAACATAGAAACCAGAGGTACAGAGGTACCAGGTCTGCACTCCTGACCATCCTGGGGCTGCAGTTACAGGCAAAGGAAGACCGTTGCCTTTTCTTAGACACCACCAATTAATTCCACCTTATTTCACACTAGAAGCAAGTCTACTAAACAAGAGGAACCTGAACTAGAGAGTATTTCCTTACCACAGAGCCCTGAATTTGTAGCAAAAACTTCAACATTTAGAAGAAATGACCACAAGAAGAGGTTTATTATTATTATGAACAGGCCTGCAGTTCTCATTCAGGTACCTGACAGTACAAGCAGAGCTCACATGAAGTTACAGAGCAACTCTCTAGAGCCTGGAATGAATCTAAATCCTGGTCCCAGAAAAATTCATCCCTGTTGCTGCTGCTAAGAACTACACATAAGCTTTCTGCCCATGCATCCAGGAGCAGAACTTGGCTTAGAATCAAAGTTTTTCCTCCTATGTCTCTTGCTTTCCGTACAACCTTAAAACTAAGTCAGCCATTAAATAATTCATGTTTATTTTAAAAAAATGCACATCAGCAGCTTACGCAATTGAAGGAAAGGGAAAGGCTACGTACTCTTCTTGAAGGTTTTGGATGGGGGGTGAGGCTGGAATCCTCCTGCTGGAAGTCCATAGGTGCTCATACGCTGCACAAGGCTGGCTACATTGCCAGATTTCTCCCTCCTGAGTGGCACAGCATCATCCTTGGGCTCTACATCCCTCTTAACTTCCTGAAACAAGAGATTTAAAAGACTGAGAGGCCATTTAAATTACCCAAGAGGTCAGTGTTTTTACACAGGCGCTCCGCAGACTAACAGATTGCAGCTACTTACCCTTTGGTGTGTAATGATGTGTTATAATCAAAAATTATGGCATCCTGCACCTAAACATACTAAAGGCCTTAATAAACTTAACCCTTCCACACAATCACATTAGTAAATAGATACACTGATGTGCTGAGAATTCAGAAACAGGTAGTATTTTAGCCACATACTCCAATCTCTAGAAAAGCAGCTTTAAGCCCAGAAGTCCCATATCACAACTCTTAAGTAACAACTCATATCTGAAAACTTTTTAAAATACACAAATATTACTTCAGTGACGGAGCCAAAGGACAGGGTGCTAAATAAAATATTTTAGCATATAAAACTGTGTTAAGTCATCATCTCTGCCTCAGAAAGCTCAAAGGTTGTTTACAGATAAGATGCAATCGTACTGCTGAAAGACATGAGTGGAAAAGAAAGTGAGATACAAGAAATAAGGTGGAAGGAAGTGAGGGGAAAGGTGTAGGAGGGAAGTAACAGAGACATTATTTTTCTGATAATTGTCTCCCACCTTCCTCTTTCTGAAGGTAGGTGTTAGGGCTGGAATTAACACACCAAGAGTTAGCAGCCTATAAACAAGAAAGCATCAGCTCTTCACAGAAGAGGCCAGTTACTCTACAAGGATCAGCTCATTAAATGAGATTCCCCCAGAGAACTAAATACTCTGAAAGAAGGAAATCATCCCTTTGCACAAGAAGAAACCCATTAAGTCAGGTCAATGGCCCATCTAGTGCAGAACACAGCTCCCAGCAGTAGCAATCCCAGATGCTCTTTAGAGCCCCACTCTGCTACCCAGATCCTCCCCCCGTTCCCAGAGCACCCATAAGGGTTTCATTAGGGAGATATATCCTCTCCCTCTCATGTCTGCAGATGAAGCTGTCTAATCTCTTTCTGCACCCAGGGTCCTGCCCTCCTCCACAGCTTCCCTGGGGATAGACCCCAGACATTTGCTCTCTGCTACACAAAAAAAGCTCTTCTCTCTCATCTGCTTTAAGCTGACCCCTTACTTGTCCCAGTGTGTGTTCCCCACCACTGCATTTAGTTTATCATTATCTCCATCCAAACCTTCTTCATATCCTCTCTTGGCTTCATCCTCTCAAATGAAGAGTCCCAGCCTTGCTGTCCCCCATCTCAAGCTGCTCCATCCCCTTAACCCCCTCACTGCCTGCCCCCATCCTGGTCTCAATAGATCTGATGACACTTGGCACCTTACCAGGGTTTTGGGCTGTCACTGCACCTGGAGCTGATGGTTCCAGGGAGCTGAAAGCCAGATATTCACAAGCTGATGCTCAACTCTCAACTGGAAGTTCCATGTAGTCAAGGTATGATTACCTATTCTACACTCTACACATAGATTTCCTATCCTATATTACTTGACATTTACTGGCACCTTTTTTGCCTGCCCAGCTTCTTGCCAACAGCATGGCACTGAACTCCATAAGAGTTTAACAGCACTCACAAAGTGGGAGCGTTCACTGTTAAATCCCCTCTGCAGATGACCAGAGATGCTGCACAAAGCTGGTTCCACAACCAGCTCCTGGGGGATACCATCACCGACTTACCAGTGACTTGTCAGGAAAGAGAAGAAGTCCTTTGTTCCTTATTCTTTAAGCAACTTCCAATCCATAAAATAATTTTTCCTTCTGTCTCAGAACAACCTCATTCCTTCAAGAACTTGATCAAAAACTCTCAAGGACTTTCTGAAAACCTGGGTGTTACATCCACCAAATCTCATACACTCATGTGCTTAGCAAGACCCTCAAAGCCCACCAGCTTTCCCACCACAGGAGCATTGCAGTGACTTGAGGAAAGCAAACACCCATAACTGCTTTGCAGCTTTTTCATGATCCACCTCAGAATAATTCTTGCATCCATCACCAGTAGCCCCTGGTTAACAACTCCACTAGCTGTTTCAGCTACAGCTGCAATGAAATATTTAATAATATTTGAAAACAACATTGGATATATATATACACACTCTTATCAATGTCATGTGAACTCCTAAACATGAGCTTTAATACAACAAAACCCATTCATTGAATGAAACGACAAAAATAGAGAAGGGTATTCAAAGAGCACCAGACAGGTCCTTCTGGAACATTAAACCCCAGGCTACTTGCTGTGACTCTCCAGCTGGAAAACCCAGCAGGTCTGGAAAGCTACCGATGCTTCCAAACAAACTGCAAACCTCAAGTCAAACAGTCCAAAGCACCTTCTGATTTCCCAAAAGAGCAGGGCAAGTCGACTAAGCAAAACTACAGGCAGCACCATTTTTCCTCCCACTCATCCACATTCCGTAAAGAGCCTTTTCAGAAAACAGGCGAGTAGTTCCTGCTGTTACTCTCCTTCATCCACAGGGACTTCACCCTGGAGATTAATGCTCTGCTGAGATCCCATCTCCCAAGGAAAAAGAAAAGCTCCAGAATAGCACAGCATTCTGTCTACCTCCCATTCGAGGAGAAATTTCACATTTCAAAGACTGTCGGTCTCGGTCTTATAGTTGTTTTTTGGCCAGTTACTTGCAAGTCTGATAAACCAGAAGGAACTGAATTTGGCTACAGCTGAAAAGTTTGCCACCTGTAAACCACCTTTTCTAGCTGTCCCACTAACAAGGCCATTCTGTTCAGGTAAAAAACAAAACAAAACATATCAGCAAATGAAAACTTGCCTAGATTGGATCTGCCCCCAGGTTTTTAAAGTTATAATCTTTTGCTTTGCAATTGATACAGCCTCCAAAAGCTTCCAGCTGCTTCAGGAACTAAAGCCTCCCCAGTTAACCAGTTTCCCCAATCGTAACACTTCCCAATAAGGAATCAGCTCCAGGCTCCTTTCCCAGGTTTACACTTCACGCAAGACTTCAGATGTGGCTGCTGCAATAATTTTGTGAAAAGCGGAGAAATTAGGAAGACGTACACAGGCAGCCTGGTCAAAAACATGATCTACTTCTAATAAATTTTAAAACAGGAAAAAAAACCAAAAAACAAGAAAACCCCACAAACCACTTCCAAATGCTAGAACAGGCTATAAGGTAAGCATCACCTTTATCAGTACATTTGTAGTAAACAGACAATGTATTTTTTAAAGTCCAGCAGTAGCATCAAAGGCAGGAAAGTAACTGATAGTTTACAAACAACAGGAAATGATTTTGAGACTACAATGAAAGACCACAGACCTCAGAAGGAGGAATGCTTGAGTGACTTTCTTGCCTGGCTTGAGTCAGTAATTGAAGTGGTGACAGGTAGGAAATACTCAAAGTCTAACACAAGACTAGCAGTGGCAAATACAACAGAAAATATAGTGGAATTAGAGTAAAAGAAGAGATCTAAAATAATTCTATGAGCATCAGTTACACAAAGATAACCTGGCAGATTCAAAGGCTGAAGATTTTCGTTAGCAGAAGCAAGAAAGAAGGATTGGACCCTGGGAGAGACTAGTACCACCAGACCTTCCCAACACAGCTAAGATAGGGAAGCTGAATACTTCAATAGACACGTAAAAGAAACCTTCCTAATCCAAGACATGTAAAAGGCAAAAGAATGCAAGGAAAAGATCAAGATGACTATGAGACAGAAACAGGAAAGATTTGCAACAGACAGACATGGGTAAGGACTGATACCAGCCACGCCTGAATCAGAGTTTACTTGTTAAAGAACAGCAGCATTAATTATCCTGCCTTGGGGCATTAGAAACCACAATAAAACCAAACTGAGTTAAAGCTAATTCAGGAATCCCTTGTCTCCACACCTGCATGCAGTCCACTACACCACAAACCTGTATTTCACATCAGTCCTAACAGAAGGAAACTGCTCCAAGATTCCTGTTCAAAAAGCTCACGTCAGGTTCCTCTGACATTGATACCCAGCACCACTGCCAACAGCTCCATCCTGAGCATCATCGCTGAGGCTCTCTAACCTTTTGGACATACTAAGGTTTTACAAAAGCAGTCGCTTCTAAACAAGATAGATATCTGTTTGGGTCTCTGAAAGCTGACACTAATCAGTTCAAACATTAATAAATGCCCCGTTAAAAATCTGCAATTTTCACACCTCTGAGCCAACAGCCTGACAGGGCTGACTTCCAGGGGCTGGAAATGACAATGCCCACAGGTCTCATCTCTGCATCTGAACCAAAGATAAAATGACCCAGGTACCACAGTATCCAACCTGAAAACGCCCAATTGGCTTCACAACAAGCAAGGCATTTTCTCTTCCTCTGTTTCTCTTGGTTTTTAAGTCAGCCTCCTATATCCAAGCTAATAGAGTCTGTGCTGTGACAACAACAGAAAACCTCCAGGACGCTTCAGCTTGTTTTGAGATGAGGCCATCATCAGCTGCCAGCCAGCAAAAAACAAACGAAAATCTGACACTAAGTGCAGCTGGAAATTTTAGTATTTTTATTATGCCAGTCCACTGCAGTTCAAGGCTTGTCAGTGTTTCCATTAGCAACACAGATTTTATGCATTTATGAGTTGGCAGTAGAAGGTCAATACAGACTGTCTCTTGGCATAAAACACACTCAACTGAGAAGTAACCACCCACTCTTTCTGCTGCAAACTACAGCACTAGTCAGAAAGGTTTGAAGTTTTCATAATCTCCACTAAACACGTATTTCACAACACTTAGAAAGTTTGCCAAAAATCACTACAGGCTGACACACACCAAAACGCATATAGATCTAACTCAACAGTGAAAAAAGATTGGGGAGATCATAAGGGGCTTTTGTTTTAATTGCACCTGTCACAGTTTAACAATTCCTCGTCGAAATGCATCCATTTATATAGAGCAATCTCAAAATTATTTTGGTACAGTGAAACAAGAATTATTATTCTTTATAAACAGACAGAAATTCAATGTGTCTAAATCCACCTATAGCCTCATGATGCCCGTTAAAATAAACCAATAAGCAGG